TGAAATGTCGTAATTCTAGTTTTGAGTAAACCAAATAAAAATTTGTATATTTCTGTTATTGTAAGTATTTGATCTGATTTCTCTTTAATTTCGCAATAACAATAAAAACTACGTAACAAGTGAAAGTTGAGAATTCAAAAATTCTTACCGCAAAAGGTGCTGTTGCTGCAACCAACATGGGCTGTTATCACCTTGTCACAGTCGAAAACAAATTGATTACACACACTCTCTCTTCACCTGTCCACAATGGTGTGGGCTTGCAGTGGAGTCATTAAATTAAAAAACTGGGCCCGTGATTAAATACAGACATGTTCCACAGTGAACCAGTAGTCCGTGTCCTATATAAAGAGGGTGGTCCATCTTAACCAGCCCAATAATTCCATATACGCACGGCTACAACCTAAACAGCCACACCTCCAAAACTCGGCCAACTCTTTTCTCAGGCTTCACATCTGCCAAACCTACTTTCTTATCACTCTGTCTGATGTAGACATTCCATGGCCAGACTTCTTCGTTTTTAATCTCTCTGCTGCAAAATTACAGCAATGCTTAAGCAAACCGGTTTTTTATTTATCTGAAAATTTTATCTCCGGTCATGAAATTCAGTGCAGTAGAGCAGAGGTATTATATTACATCGAACAGCTCACGGTGCATGCACATATATGTGTTATGAGTAGTCCGATGTAACACAACACCTATGTTGGCTACATAGAATTAAGCCTCTGTAATCTAAATTTTCCTCCCCACATCCCTGTAGACAAAGCAGGCACTGGTAATGACCTGTACTACATTGTGTTTCGTAAAATTTTTGTTGGTTTATGAATAGCCACTTTGTTCCATCATTAAGATTTGTTTCTGCATATGAAAACTACTGCATTTGCAGTAAGATTGTCCATATGATCTTAGATCGGTGTTTTTCAGTATATATATTTTATTAGTTCTGTACATCTAACCAACAAAAGTAGCATCATATATATGACCATGTAAATTTCACTTTTAGTAGCTTTAGCCGGGTTCACACCCTGTGAATGTGCCTGAACACTTTTGTCCTACATAAAAAAAATAAAAATTAAGGAGTTAAGGTGTTGTATTGTATTTGTTCAAAGTGTACTTAGTGGACATGTCAGAATTCAGAACTTAGAAGTGATCCCATTTGGACCACATGGGATTTTTTTGGATTATGCGTTTTAAACTTCCCCCCTTCCTCGTCTTGTCCACATCTTTCGAGCAACAATAAAATACTGTTATTTATTAAAAATTGACATCTAACAGTCGCAATGCTTCCTAGATAATGATTTGCAAAAATAATTCATCCAAGCAAGACACGCCCACGTGAAGGAAAAAATAAAAAATAAAAATAAAAATTTAGGATGAAAATTACAATGATACTTGCAACAAATTAAGCTTCGCATTTTAAGGATCCGTTTGGTATGTCCTTTGTTTTAGATGTTTTATTTTTGGTGAAAACAAAAATAGTATTTTTGTTGTAGGAGTGCTTTGAAAAAAAAATCAAAAGTACGTTTGACAATAATGTTTTGGGTTAATTCCACCTACACCTCCTGACGTTTGCCTATATTTCACTTACACCCTCTCTACGTTTCATAATTCCACCTACACCCCCTGTCAGTAAACACCGTCTAGTTTTCTTACAGAAATGTGTGATTTTACTTTTTTGCCCATGAATTATATATTAAAATTTATAACTTAAATGAAAAGACTTAAATGCCCTCTATTTCTCTCTCTTTACACAGACCCATGATTTAAATGACGGTGACCAAGTCGGACGGTGGAGATCGCTTCACCTCTGTAACTTTTTGAAGATTGCTTCACCTAAGTCGGATGGCGATCCCAAGTTTTGTGAAGTTCAATTCAGTCCGGCGAAGCTCGCAACGGAAGATGGTAGTTATGATAAGAGCCCGTGGTGGCCGTGCATGGTTGCACCTCATCGATCCAAAACCAGTGATGGCAAGGCAACACGACAGGAATCTCAGACGACGGTGACTCCTTTTGTGACGCTAACTCTTGTCGTAACTCCACCGTCATCTTCAACCAAACCCAGTTCAGTCTGGCGAGCAGCGATTCAGTCATACCGACCTTAAATCCCGGTGTTGTTAACGGCGGCAGACGGTGAGAGCAGATCTAACATCCCATTGTTGTCGACAGTGATGGTCTCCCGATTGTTGATATCGGTGGCGAGGTGTGTCACCATCAGGTACAGAAGCGTCTAACGAAGGCCGTAGGGCAAGCCCTCGGCAGAGATCCGTGATCCCAAATGCCAAAGGTCTAGAGTTTGGATCGAGAAGTAAAGCAATTTTGAACTTCACTCTTGAGGCCGGAAAGTCGTATGACACGGCGGTGTAGTGGGATGGCCAACATGAAGTTTGTTGGGATTGCCGGTGGTGAGCAAGGAAGATGCCGACGGTGATGAAGTGCGACAGAAAGTCGTATGTCTAAGGTTCACTTTATTTAGGGATTTGTTTCAAATTTCCAGCTGTAAAGCCCAAAAAAACTGATTAAGATCAACACAAGAAGCTCAAATCAAGGTTAATTTTCCTTCATCTTTAGTGTTTCCCACATTCAATTGGTCCTAGTTATAATGTAATTTGATATTTTAGTTTTTGAATTTCCTCTTTTAATACCTTCTCTAAAAACCACGTATTTAGGATTGATATGCTTATAATTTTGGGTCTTTATTGACTGATCGATGTATATGCTTAGCTTCGCCAAAAAAAAAAAAATTTGAATAATGCGTGTTCATACTTCTTATTGTTGTATCACTCAAATAATTTGGAACAAAAAAATTAGCAAATTTGGTTGAAAAATTAATAGGTTTTGCCACTATCTCAAAAAACCACCGCCACTGCCTTTCTCAACCTCCTCTTACGACCCAACAACATGCTTCAGTCCAATGACGCTACAAGCGTGCTTTAATGCATCCAAACAACAACCCATCAACGTGCTTCAGTATGGCGACGCTACAAGTGTCCTCAATCCACCTCAGTGAAACCCAGTTCAAGACGGCTATGGACTCGCCAGACATTTCATTCCCACCGAATAGTCCCGCCACCAGTAGAAGAATCAAAGATGGGTGTAGACAGTGATGGTAATTTTGTAAATTTGCATTCGTCAATGAGGTTAAATATGTCATTTCAAGTATTGGAAGGGCAAAATTGACCTTATATCGATTTGTTCATGCTAACACCGTCAGTTGCTTAACGGCAGGGGGTATTTTGCTACATAAATCAAAACCTCAAAGGAGGTAGGTGGAATTATGAAACCTAGAGGGGGTGTAAGTGAAATATAGGCAAACGTCAGGAGTGTAGGTGGAATTGATCCTAATGTTTTTGGCGTTTTGTTTTTGACCTGTGTTGCGCAACTGTTATGATTTTGGGCCATGAATAATTGTCAAAACAAGAAAAAATATTTTTTTAGTGTTTTGATTTTGGGCTATTGTTCACAAAGTATTCTTATACTGTGTAAAATAAAATAAGACCGCACCAAACATGTTTTTGTTGCCAAAATCGATATTGTAGTAGTCCAAAAACAAAAATAATAGAAACAAAACGCATGCCAAATAGAGCCTAAAAAGCTAAAAATTATAAGAGTTATAGCAAAGATTAAAGTAGGTCACAAATCACAATATGAATGAATTTTCATAGCTAGATGTTTCACTCCAAAATTATGGTGAAACATATTCATTAATACTTGGCCATCTAATGCAACTAAAGTAATCACTCGTAAACATAGGCAACATATATTATCAGGGATGGGTGCCATTTTTAACCCAAAAATAAAATAAATAAATAAATAAATAGTAGGGGCAATAGTGAAGTTTTTCTATAATTTTAAAGGGCAAAATTTAAAATTTTAAAGTATATAAATAAATAAAAAAACAAAATTAGTCGGTATAAAATATAAAAATAAAAAAATTTGAATAGGGGTAGTTAGGGATGTCAATTTTTACCGCCCCGTCCTGCCCTGTTAATAACGGATATGGGAATACTTTTTATACCGTTGGAGCGGGCATGGATACATTGTACCTGTCGAGGGTCACGGGGCGAGTAAGGGTTCAGTATACATATCCTAAGGGTCTCGCCCCGCTAAGCATATAACTATATTTAATATATATAATATTAATAACTTATTTTAGCGACTTACTCCGTTACCAATCTCTTACAATCTTAATTTGGGATGTAAACTTGGTATTAAATTTGTTTTAGTTATAGTTATAGTGGAAGTTAGAGCTTAGAACTTCTTGTGATTTAGTTGTATTAAACTTTTATTTTTGTTTATTATGTGCTCTGAATTATGTTATGTGCATGTTATTTTTTTATTTTTGTTGGGATACATAATTTCATTTATATTGTGCCATTCCCAGTCTTTCCGCATATAGCAGGAGCTTAAGTTCCAAAAAGTGAGAGAAAAAAAATTGTTAGCGGGACGGGCACGGGGACACAGTATTTCCCAACCGGGCGGGGCTGGACATGAAATTCCAACCCGTCGCGGGTCTCGGAGCGGGCATGGACTTGGCAAAAATTAAAAGGGACGGGGCGGGATTTAGGGAAACCCGCTCCAAACCCGCCCCGTTGCCATCCCTAGGGGCAGTTGCCCCACTAGGCCTATATTGGGTCCCTGCATTGTATATTATAGCGATCTCTCTAAAAAAATATTAAATATTTCGGGGATACGTAACTCAATAAATAATAAATAATTAATTTTTATTATGAAAATAGTTAATATTAATTGATCTGTGCTACATAGTCGTCGTTACGCCGTTCAGTAAAACGCTGTGTATGGACTGCATTCAGGCTTAGAATTTCATTTGAATTGTAAATAAATGCCCAAACCCTTTTCGGCCCATTACCTCCTAGGGCCTGAATGTTTCATGGGTCATCCCTAGATGGAAGTTGGCGTTGAGAATGGGCTTTTTTCAATCTGAATCCTGTTCATTGCCCATTATGTAAAATTGGAGTTTGATTCATTGGCCATCCCATTATTTACGGGCTTTCTAGTTACATGTAACTAAATCCCAGAACTAAAGTGTGCGCAAGTGTGTGTAGAGAGAGAGATGCAGAAGCGGGAGCAGGGCAAACAGGGCGGAGGTCCCGGCGGCTCGAACACTCCGGCGGCGAAGAGAGGACGCCCCTTCGGAAGCAGCACCAACGCAGCCGCGGCGGCGGCAGCGGACACGGCAGCGCCTTTGACACTCCTCGGCCCATCTCTGCAAGTCCACTCCTCCTTCGCCGGTCAGTTCACCAAAACCCTAAGTTCTTACTTTCTCGGAATTGCCGCCTGAAAGGAGGTGATTTTGCATTATACATGAGGTCATTAACTTTAGATAAATTGACGCATTTACGGACTTGGGGATTGGTATATCATATGTTTATAGTGCTTGGGTTGCATCGCCAAATCAGGTCGCCAGTCAAAATAAAATTTATATATTGAAATTGATATACTTATGTGTGTATGTTTACATATATGTAAATATATCTTATGTTCTGAAAATATTACGAAATTGTTGTGGATACTGAAGCTCAGAGTTATCAGCAGTGACATCTTTAGTCTTAGGTGCTTACTGTGCGCTAGGTTTTAATTCGGCTCGCTCTTCAGTCTTCACTTGTGTGTGTGTGAGGAGTTGACCAATTGTTGTTATAGCTCCTTTTTTTTAAAAAATTTCAATCCCATAACATAAGTTAAAAAATGCTATTCTTCTGTGCTGCTCTCACCTACATGGGTATTGGAAAGAGAAGACTCAAGACAAATGTATTTTTGGATATTATTTTATGCAAAGTTGTTGCTCTTAGATTCAAGACCAGTGCCTCCATATTTGTCATCCCAAGGTTTTTTTTTTTTCATTGCACCAATCAATGAGTACCCATTGAATAAATGGGTAAGACTAGAAAGGATAGAATTAGAAATGATCATATTTGGGAGATGGTTGGAGGAGCACCAATTACAGATAAAATGAGAGAAAATTGGTTAAGATGGTTTGGACATGTGTAAAGGAGACGTTTAAGTGCGCCGGTTAGGAAACGTGACATAGTCCACATTGAGGATAATACTATGGGAAGAGGAAGACCAAAATTAACGTGGATAGAGTTAGAAAGAAAGATATGATAGCATGTAGATTGACCAAGGTTATAGCCTTAAATAGAGCGGAATAGAGACATAGGATTCATGTGGCTGACCATGTTAATATTCATTAAGAGAGAGATGGTACAAAGTCAATCTCAGCTCGAGTAAGAAGGAAATCAAATAATCTGGAAAAGGCTTGGTGGTGGTGGTGGTGGTGGTTGTTGTACTACCAATAAATCTGCTGACCATACTTATCTTTCAGTAGCTCCTTGTTATTCAGTGAGCACAGCTTCTTTTGCATTGACTACAAAAGAGAACATTTAATGTATCTTTAAAGTGATTGTAGAAAGTCTGCTGGTCTGTGAATTGGAAATGGATATGCCACATATCATCATTAAAGCATTGGCTGTCAAGATATCACTAAAATGATGAGAAAAATGTATATTTTCAGATATTTACTTAATACTTTTATGACTTGTAAAGTTATAAATTAAGATTTCGTTTTAAGATTAAGAACAAGTTCATAATGATCCTTTATAGTGTGTATAAATATTTGCGTTTATGTCTATGTCTGCTATTATACTATTGACTACTTCTTTTTGGGACTCATTGTTAATTGCCCGAGACTTCGTGGAACACTTCATTTGATTGAATACATGGGATAGTTGAAGTTAGTAATTTTTGGGCAACTATACAAATCAGATAGTTTAAAATATTGCATTACATTGGTGATTGCTATTTCTTCCAAGACAATCCCTTGATGACAATCTAGTTCTTCCTTGTTTGCACTGTTACTGTTATAAATTTGCTATACGTCCATCTAGGGGGTGTGTATCTAACAACAAGTTAAGGAAATGTCAGGCACTCATTAACTTGTTGCCTGCATGGGCTAGTTATTTGGCTACAATTTTACACCTGTTAGCATATGCCTAACACAAGCAGTAGCGTTTATCCGCCGGGAGAGAAGGAGAGAGGGGGGGGGGGGGGGGGGGTTTGGTAAAAGGCAGTAGCCAGTAGGTGATCCTGCTTGGCAAGGTGGTGCTTGCATTATGTTTCGGTAACATTGGAGCATTTCTCTTTACATTTTTTTTTTTTTTGATAAGTGAGCATTTCTCTTTACATTGATTTGATAAAAGGGTCGGGCAATCTTGTATAACAATTTTGGAGGTTTATAGATTCTGAATTTAAGAATTTGAAACAGTTAATATTTAAATGTAGATTTTGGAAAACAAAGATTGAAAACATGGAAAACTGGCATTAGTAAAAGTTTAATGGATGTTTGTACCATTGAGTTCACCTGATATTTTTATCCAATAGTTATTGTCCTAATTTCTACATACTGTTTTTGCAGATCAAAATAACAAAAGAATTGTTCTGGCTCTTCAAAGTGGATTAAAGAGTGAGCTGACATGGGCACTCAATACTCTCACATTACTATCATTCAAAGAAAAGGATGAAGTGCGTAAAGATGCAACTGCTCTTGCAAAAATACCTGGGTTGCTCGATGCTCTTCTCCAAGTTGTACGAGTCAATATTTTAATATTGTCCAGAGTACAAATGTTATTTTCTTTATTTATTTTTTCAATTATAGTAAACCTTACAGTACATATTAATATTGAATTTCTTACAAGTTGAGTAGATAGATGACTGGCGGGATATAGCCCTACCAAGGGAGCTGGTAAAGGCGCCAAGGGTGAGATCATTAGGTGCAAATTCTATTGTAACTGGATTTGGGAATGAATACGAGGCATTGGGCTCCTCTGTTCCCCATCCTAGGTAAAGTTGACATGATTACCGTCTCTTCTTTGCTGTAAATTTACCATTGTAGACACAGAACATCTGCAATTTGGAGTTGGAACCTGAAAATAGGATGATCTTCTTTTGGCAGCCTGGGATCTGGTTCTTCTGTCACTGAGGCATCCACACAGAAGGCTACACCCAAGCCTCGTCCTCCGGGGTGGTGGTTTGATGAAGAAGCCCTGTTTAATCGGGATGAGGATGGGCGGTCAGAAAAGCAGCAGTGTGCTGTTGGTGCTTCCAATATTATCCGCAACTTCTCTTTCATGCCCGATAATGAAGTCATTATGGCACAGCATCGTCATTGCTTGGAAACGATGTTTCAGTGCATTGAAGATCATATTACAGGTGAGAAGAAGTTACGGGATGATCTCTTTTTTGTGCCTTAATAAGTATTCACAGATAAAACTAGTATTTCATTTAGTTATGCCAAAGGAGGATTTAGAAAAAAAGGAAATTGATGTTCCATTCTTTCCCCCTGATCAATGGTACAAATTGAACCCCTTTAATCCCATTCCTCTTCATAAATGCCATGCCAGCAGTTAGCCATCGTGCTACAACGGCTTTGGTAAATTTTAATGTGTTTTTAAGATGTTGATGTGAGTTAGATTTACTAATTTGTTGGGAAAACTGGACTAGTTTGTGCTACTATGCCACACACCAAAAAACAAAATCCTGCAGATTTGTGTTCCTCAGGGCTATACTTGTGGATTAATGTTCAGACAATTTTTAAATTTCAGGTTAGCATATAATTTTTAGAGTCTCTGGATGGATGGCTATGAACTTACAATATCTTCAACAGAAAATATACTTTTTTATAATTTAAAAAAAAATGAAAAAAGAAAATTTTGAACACTGAGTCTAAAAAATAAATGCTGTGCTTAAGCTTTAGTGCACAGAATAACATGTGAAGATCAAGGTGATTATGTTGGAGGAAATTTGAAGCTGTTTGACACTTGTTAACACAAGGGGAATCTTTTAGAAGATTTTTTGGCGCTGAGACTATATTGAAAGACTAAGTGCAACACTTGTCAGATGTTAACAAAAAATTTCAAAAAGAAAATGGTATTCAAACTCTGAAACTAACTTTTATTTGTTCATTTATTTTGAATATGGATCTCAAGGGTGAACATAAGGTTGTACAATAGATGTGAACTACCACTATGGAGAGAAGAGGGTACCAGCAGTTCCTCTTTTGTTTTTCCAAGATGCCTTTTGCACACTGTCATGTTATTGGCTGAATACGCTTAACAAAACAAACGTGACAATTGTACATGTTAGTTGGAATGATTATTTTTCATTCCGAGTCTTCAGTCTGTGACTCTGTGGTACCTTGAGAAGTGTAAATTGAAACTATGTAGATATTACAATTGATTAGTCTTAAACTAGAGAGAGCTCTTTCTTTTTCGAAATTTGTTTGATAAGGAAACAAAGAGATGATAAGTAGCTTCCTTAACGCATCTATGTCTGTCAAAAGTATTTTCGTACAAGGTGCTTCATAGAATCTAGCTTGTTCCAAGTGTCAAGTGACTAGTTTTGGTGCCACATCAGATGGTCACACCAAACTGAAATCGTAAGTTACAACCTTAGTAACATAATGGTCCAAATTTGGCCAAGACACAGTTCCTCTGATTCCATCCGTAAAACCCAACATTACCAACCCAAAATCAAATCTAACCTTTTCTTTTACCTTTTAGCATTCAATTTAATATATCAGACACCACACTTTCTGCTGCCCAGAATTCCAAGCAACCTAAATCTATAGAAATTTTTGCAAATAAATACCTCATGTCAACCGCCATCTACTCTAAAGGTTTAAGTTGTTAGAGATTGGTGCAACTTAAGTATTTATCTTCTCTAACACGCCCCCTCACATGTGGCCAGATTTCGGTCCAACACGTGTATCAATTAGAGTTATCAGGTGGTGGTGAGGTTTGAACTTAGAACCTTGTCTGCTATGATATCATGTTAACTGTCACCTACTCTAAAAGCTTAAGTTGTAGAGAATATATGTGGCCAGTCCATCAATCCACACAGATTGGAAATTAAGGGAGGTTCCTATAATCTGCAGAATTGAGCCCTTTCTGTTTGACTTTGACTATATTATAGTAGACTGGTAGTCATGGTTCATTGTATCGGCCGATATGTGACGTATCGCCCGGTTCGTTTCAATACTGTTACACACCCCCTCGAACCGCCCAGTTCGACCGGTTTACTCCGTTACTGTTACCGTAATTGATACCGTGATTGCGAACCATACTGGCAGGTACCTGATTCATTGACCCATTAAAGGATCATCTGCCTTCATTAGATTAAAAAATATACTTGGCAGGTTTGCAATCTGGAATGCCTATGTTTGGGGATATACTTAGATATGCACATATAGGTTATATCATACGTCTGCTTTTCATATCGATATACTTAGATATGCATATATAGTTTAAATCATACATCTGCATTTCATATACATGAATATGTTACATATCTACTTGCAGAAAGAAAAAAAAAAATGTATGTAATCTTTGTATATAGATGCTATGGAGGCATTATGAATCATAGGTATTTTTAAATTTGGCACTTTCCTTCTCCTACTCAATTACTTTTTGTATATAGATGCTATGGAGGCATTATGAATCATAGGTATTTTTAAATTTGGCACTTTCCTTCTCCTACTCAATTACTTGCACACAAATAACAACTTAGATAGAATATGTGATCACATTGAGGTTGCATAAAGACCAACAAGGCAACATTTAAGAATTTTTCGTACATAGGCTGGGTAGAAAATTGAAGGAAGATTCTATATATTCAGGGCTTTAGGGAGAACTTACGTCAGAATGGCATGACAACTTAGTTGTTTAAACAATGTTTATATGGCAATCAACCCATTTTAAGTAGGATATTGGTATTACATAAGAGAATTGATTACTTGTTTGCAAATTATTTCATAACGGAGACCTATTTTGTTTATTACGGGCTATTGGCACATATGTTGAAAGCCTAAGGATGTACAATGTGACATTTCCAAGAATGTTTCTGTATCTCTTAGTATGTACTCTCTAGCAGTTCTAAACTGAATGTTCCACAGAGGACGATGAACTTGTCACAAATGCCCTTGAGACAATTGTAAATTTGGCTCCATTGCTGGATCTTCGAATCTTTAGCTCATCAAAGCCTTCCTACATCAAAATAAAGTAAGAAATTTGACAAGACATGTTGCTTTACAGTATGCTTGTTTCAATTTCCAACTTGTGAGTTAATTTTTTTGTCATTTGTTTCTATCAAACCAGAGAGAAACGTGCAGTCCAGGCCATCATGGGGATGCTGGGATCTACTGTCAAGTCCTGGCATTGTGCAGCTGCAGAATTACTTGGGCGTTTGATAATAAATCCTGATAATGAACCTTTCCTTCTTCCTTTTGCCCCACAGGTTGATATTCTTCCTCATTCCATCCCATCTTATGTAATATTTAGTTCATATAACGCGAATGGACTAACTGCATTAATCTTCATGATGGTTTGATGGACTTGGCAGATCTATAAGCGTTTAGTAGACCTTTTAAGCTCACCAGCTATTGATGCACAAGCTGCTGCTGTTGGCGCACTCTATAACCTCGCAGAAGTTAATATGGACTGCCGGTTGAAGCTTGCAAGCGAGCGATGGTGAGGCCATTTTTCAAATATGGCAAGCCCAAAATTTTATATATATATGTCTTATTATGTAGAACATTTTTTTATCTGAACAACCTGTGTAAACTGTCCTAAATTCAGGGCAGTTGATCGGCTGCTGAAAGTCATTAAGGCACCACATCCAGTGCCAGAAGTTTGCAGGAAAGCAGCGATGATATTAGAGAGTCTCGTCTCAGAGCCGCAGAACAAGGCCCTGCTGCTATCTTATGAGAATGCCTTCGCTGAGATACTTCTATCAGATGGAAAATATTCAGATATGTTTGCCAGGATATTGTATGAGTTGACATCTCGGCCAAGCAACAAAGTGGCAACAGCTCGTGGGTTTTGGGGCATGTAACCAAAACTCTGTTTCATCTCCATTTTCTAGTTATTCGGCTCTGGCTGGCATTTTAAAAAAATGTTGGTTGAGAATTAGGCCAAGTACATGTATCTGTGCATATTAGCTAACTGAAAAATATTTATATTCGAAATTCACAACAGCCATTGTCATGGGGTTCACTTTTTGGTTCTTCGCTATGTTTCATGGCTAAATTGGTTCCATTTGAAAGCTGTAATGCTGTTGTACTTTTCATGTTTATGTAGAACAAATTTAGTTTATATGGCTTTTGAATTATCACTAAATATGCTTGTATTACGGACCTCACTGCTTGCAAACAGTCAGTTCTCGGTTTCTAAACTTTATATGCTTGCATTCTCCTTTTTATAAATGATGTGATGAATTATTAAGAGAGAAATTTCCATAGGTATAACACACACACACAACAAAAAAAAAGAAAAAAAAAAAGGGGGTGTAAGTGCAATTTACCCTAATTTTTTTGTAATATAATTTACATAAGAATTTTTTAATTGAATTTTAAATTAAATTAATTATTATATAAATTCATAATGCAATAACTAAAACATGGCGAACAAGAATTCAAATAAGATAAAAAGGAATTGAGAATTATTACAAGCGACAAATAAAGATAAAAGGCAAAAGGACGTGATGAGCCAATGTTGCACTAGTTGGTATTCTCACACATGACAACATATGCCAATAAATTTTTTTAAAAAAGTAATAACCTATACTGCCATACCGCTAATTCATTTATAAAATGGCTTCATTTTATTGGTGCCCATATTGACAAATAAAAAAATTATTAGAGGTTGACTATTGAAGCTACATTTTGAAGTTGAAATTGATTGTAAATTAGAGATCAGGAGGAAATATTTTATTACAATAATGGCAATTTGAATTCTTGTTAGCATGGATTGCAAATAACTCATTTTACTAAATTATTTTAAGTAAATTGCACCGACACTCTTTTAAATTTGAGTTAAAGCCAACCATCTACAACTTAAACACTTTTTAGACAATGATACCCCCACGTTTGGTAAAATGAACAAAGACTCCCCAACCATGATAAAAGTACCTACTTGCTCTTTGACTTCTGAATTGACCCATGTGAATCATTAAATTATCTTTATAACCTCCTATTAATTGACCAAAATAACCCTCAAGAATGAAAAAAATAAATACGATTTTATTGTGACATGTTTTCTTTTTCTTTTTTCTTTGTTTTTGTGGAAGAAAAATGTGACATGTTGTGCAAGTAATGTTTCAATAAAATAAAAAGATTAACTTTTGTGGATTACTTGGATGTGATATTTAATATTTGAATATCTACCTATTTTTATTACAAACTTGAGGGGGTGAGTGCAAATTACCCTTAAAAAAAAAAAGGAAAACGAAAATGAAAATGTTAAACATGGCTGCATTTGTTCTCATTCCTTTTCTCATATAAAAACCAGACATGATGCCCCTACAAACAGCAGCTTCTCACGAATCTCACTGCCCCAGGAACGATAGAAAAGAAGAGAAGAAAAGAATAGATGGCGGATTTCTTCTTGTCTTGGTTAAAGTAATAAAAACTGGCAGGACTCTGCTCCATGTATTGCTCTAGTGCTTGCATTATCCGTGGTTGATACAGATTAGTTGTAGAGGATGTTCAGGGAATGGCTATGCAAATTAGCTGCGTTTGGAGAACTCTTGCTGCTCTTTCTTCTATAGAAACGCTCACACCATCAGCATCTTCAACAAAACCGCTCTAAGCCAGTAGCGTTCTTCAACCTGTCTACATTCTACAAGCAAGGTTTTTCAGTTGCAAATGTCTGTCACTGGGAATCTGGGATCGAAATGGTCAAAGCAAACAATTTACGTGCTTAATTTAATCAGTCATCTTCAAATTTCAATGAATGCTATCATATATCTCAATGTAAAACAGAAGAAAAAGGCAAGTTCCAAACCAGGGGGGCAACACGCACGAGGCATCTAACATTGCAGATAAAATGCCAGTCGCAAACCATTCACCCAACCTTACAACTGGTTCAATCACAAAGTTCTGTGTCATTTTACTAAAATTTAACAAAAATACCACACTTTCTGAAAAACAGACAAACCAGTGACTCATAGTGTGCATGTGTGTGTGTGTGAGAGAGAGAGAGACCAAGAGTTGGGGGAACAAAATATGTAAAAACTCTGAATTATTCAGTTAATAATCAAGTAGAGATCTCCATATACATAACATTATCAAAATCAAACAAAATGTTAATTTATTGAAGCACCATCTTTATTTTTCACAAGTCTTAACCGCATATTACAACCACATATTACATTTAACAACATTTACGTTCAACCACTCATAGGTACAACTGAAAAGCTATACTACAAATTTATAGCCCAATAATGCAATTATCAATGTTATTCTTGCGAGTTATTTCTCTTGCGAGCAATTTCTCGAGCCATCTCCCTTAGTTCCTCTGGTGATGGTGGCCGTGGTCCCTCTGGGGGATACACCACATAGGGACGCTTCACAAAAAAGAAACTCAAATGCTTTAGAGAAGAATCAAAACATGTATGAAGAGAAATACTTTCAATTCGAAAGGAACATCCCCTTGCCTTAATAAATAAAGAATACAAGACCAAAGTTACCATCTAAAGAAAATGATTTAGGCATGATTGCATGAAGAATATATTGATCTAACAGAAATACGTTGCCTTGGGTCAAAGTAGGATAATTTGCTTTGGCACAGTTTCCCAAATGCAATTCTTCTTTATTTGGATGTTAAAACCATGGGAAAACTTGTTCATAATCCTTTATTTGACCAGAAAAGCGTTGAACCAAAGACCATTTGAGAGTTCAACATTTATATTTGCATGAAACTATATACACTAAGTTGTTTGCAATATCATTTATTTATTATTCTTGAGTTTTTTTCTTCCCGTAAGTATTACTCTTGGAGATTTAATTATGTACAGACTTCAGACATTATGAACTATATGTGTATTCTCTAATAATCATAGTATTAAACTTTTGCACAAATAATTATTGGGTTACTAAATGTTGTTGAAGGATCAACTATATCTAGTTGAATGTTTATTATAAATGCATTTTAAAGATGCTCCAGATCCTAAGTATTTTATATTGGCTCTCACACCGTGCAAAGCGTAAAATCATGCACACAGCCAAATAGACAATCAATTTTGAAAGACACAGGACTTTTAGAATAAAACAACCAAAAAGTACACTATTATCAGTAGAAATAGTTTTCTCAAAATCTAGTTTGAGAAATCATTTTTGCAAAAGCTGAAGCAACCCTGGACAGGCACCTAGTCTGCTTCAAGTCAAAGCTAAAATGCCAATATAAACAAATCTCAGCTTGTTGCAAATCACAAGACTAAGCTTAGTGCTAAAGGCTCAACCAAACTCATTCAAACACCAGACACTACAACTCACTGGGAGGTCAAATTGAACATTAGGCACTCCAAATTGTGAATGCACTAGATCATGCAATCGTGTCGACCAACAAAACACTATAGCCTCATAAAACTAACAATATGCAGAAAATCCAAGCATGAGATCAAGACAAGGGTATCCCTCCATCAAATAATACTGACAAACATGTAATCCTTTAGCTTCCTCAATAGCCACTATAAAATTAAAAGGTATCCATATCACTAGTTGATCGGATGAAGCAAATCAGCCTACTTGCTGAAGCAAATAGATATGAACCTCAAAGTAACTATTCCGCCTAGTAGCTCCAAGAGGAACTCCTAATGAAGATGGAAATATTCTTATATAGGATGTGAATGCCCACACAATCTTTTGACGACTCATCTTCATTTTGGTGAAACCTCTTTCAACTTCTCACGAATGCGTCCATTTTGGATTATATTGTTGTTTATCCATCTCAACTTTCTCAACTGATCTACACTCATTTTTTAACATATTGTATTGCAGCCTCAAATTTTGCAGCATAAAGCAGAGTTGGCCTAATGGTAATCCTGTAACATGCTGGTCTTATAACTATCCAAAATTCTAAATCCATATGAATTGACATGATGCAACATATACATGTCATAAGAGCTTGTATGCTATATTTTATTAAAAAAAAAAAAAAAAGAAAAAAAAAAAAAGAACTTCTTTACATGCACACTCAAATAAAGAGTTCTGTACAATACCTATTAGCTACAGAAACGGAACACATGAAACACAATTGGCAATTTTAGTAACCCTAATATTCTCAACCAACTTGGGCAATCAAACTACTTACAAGAAAAAGGACTTCTGAAAACGGAGTCATATATAAATATATTATGTGTGTGTAGAGAGAGAGCAATCAACAAGTATTATTCTTGCAAGCACCATCTCCCTTAGTTCCTCTGGTGATGGTGGTCGTGGTCCCTTGGGGATACACCACATAGGGACACTTCACAACAAAAGAAGCTCAAATGCTTTAGAGAAGAGTCAAAACACGGATGAAGAGAAATACTTTCATTTTGAAAGGATCATCCCCATGCCATAATAAAATCATGAATACAAGACCAAACGATAACATCCAAAGAAAAAGTCTTAGGTCAAAGTGGATAATTTGATTTGGCAAACAGTTTTCCGAATGCAATTCTTCTTCATTTGGATGTTAACACCATGGTAAAACTGGTTCATAATTTTCTTTTATTTGGCCACAGAAAAAAGTTGAACCAGCGACCATTTGAGCGTTAAACATTTATATTTCCACCAAACTATATAAACTTTGTTGTTTGCGCTTTCATTTATTTATTACACTTGAAGATTTAGTTTTATATTGATACGTACTATCTTAAAATGTAAATCTGAGAAATCATTTTTGCAAAAGCTGAAACAACCCCGGACAGGCACATAGTCTGCTTTAACTTAAAGCTAAAATGCCACATATGATAAACAAATCTCAGCCTGTTGCAAATCACAAGACTAAGCTCACTGGTGAAGGCTCAACCTAACTTAAGCTCATTCAAACCCCAGACAATGCAACTCAGTGGGAGGTCAAGTTGTTAAACATTAGGCACTGCAAATCATGAATCCACTAGATCAGCAGCCTTAATGGAATCATCATAGCATATTAACATACACTGCAACGAGCTGCCAGAATCATGCAATCCTGACTATAACCAAAACACTAAAATTATTTATCATACATATTGCCTCATAAAACTAACAATTTGCAGAAAATCCAAATATAAGATCATAGAGATAAGGATATTGGGTATCCCTCCATCAAATAAAACTGACAACAGGTAATCCTTAAGTTGCCTCAATGGCCACTATAAAAGTAAAAGGTATCCATAGCGCTAGTCGATCTGATGAAGTAAATCAGCCTACTTGATGGAGCAAATAAATATGAGCCTCAAAGTAACTATTCCACTAGCATGTCGCAGAATAAGTCCTAATGAAGATAAAAATGTCATCCTTGTCAAAAAAAAAAAAAAAAATGAAGATAAAAATGTTCCTATATAGCATATATGTGAGTGCCCACACAATCATATGGTCCTACATGCTGCATATTACCAATTTATCTTTTTACAACTCATCTTCATTTTGATGATGCCTCTTTCAGCTTCTCACAAACACACCAATTTTGAATTATATAATTTCATGTGTTCTCATTTAACATCTCAGCTTTCTCAATTGGACTACATTCATTTGTTAACATATTGTATTACTGCCTAAAATTTTGTAGCACAGAGCAGAGTTGTCCTTGTGGTTGTCCTGTTACATGCTGGTCCTATAATCAACATTCTATATCCAAATGAATTGACATGATGCAAAACATATACATTTCATAGAGCTTCACAATCATATCTGTTGGTCAAAGAATAATTCTTTACATGCACACTCAAATAATGAATACTGCAAATATAGATGATATATGCATAGCTATCAGCTACAGAATCATAACACATGAAACACATTTGGCAATTGTGGTAACCCTAATATTCTCAACCAACCTAGGCAACCAAACTACTAAGAAGAAAAAGGAGTTTCTGAAACCGGAATTATATATAAATATACTGTGTCTATGTGTATATATATATATCTATAGATATATATAGAGAGAGAGAGAGGGAGGGAGAGAGTTACATTGCCCATGAACCTCTGCATATTCTGGGAATTGTTGGCAAAGAAATACATAAGGCCGATTGGAACGGTCACGTATATGGCGAATTTTGCGATCTCCAAAACACCCTTTGAAGTTCCCAACGATGACATTTTCACTCTGAAAATTAAAGAGATCGAATTTACCAGTAAACAGACAGAACCCTAGAGAGAGAGAGAGAGAGAGAGAGAGAGAGAGGGGTTGAATGAATACGTGGGAGGCTTTGAACTACTTGTGCACAAAGTGGGCCAGGTCTTGTTGGCACTTCAATTCATGGGCTTTCTGAAGCTACAAGTCCTCTCAGGCCCACTTAAAGGAGCTAAGTGGGCTGTCTTCAGCACATTCCAACCCAACCCACCTTTTATTTTAGATTTTCTGGGCACCTTCATGAAATAAAATAAAAAGTAGTTGGAGAGTCCGATACATTTGAATTTTTTTATGTAATAGGTCAATAACATCATGAAGTCATACAGAGAAATGTAGCCGGATGTGTTCGGACTCTCTAAAGCTACAAGCTAATTGGCTCAACCTTTCCCGGAAAAAAAAGGGTTAATTGGGTCTACTTCAGAGCAACAACAAAAGGGAATAGAGTAATTTGCCTCAGCCCAACCTAAACCTAAAAATTTAATTTGTAGCAAATTTTTTGTTAGGTTGGCTTGATTGGGTAGACTTTAATGTGAAAATACATTATTTGAAAAAAATTATTAATTAAGCCGGGCAAGTCTTTGAAGTGTGTTGACTTAAATAATAAATACTTGGAAAACTACCACACAACTATAATATCATATCAATTTATTGACTTGGTATCAATGTGAATTCTATGGAACACATCTAAAACATGCAAATATTTTATTTGAATTAAATGTAGTACAATCAACTACGTGTATTGTCTGCGCCTCATTAATTGTATGATGAGTTGACTAATATATGATATCATGGCTGATAAATAACTTGGTACAATCTACTACGTGTATTGTGTGTGCGTCATTAATTGCATGATGACTTGACTAATATATGATACCATGGTTGATAAATAACTTGGTATTATCATTATTTTTAAATTATTTCTAAACCTACAAAAAAAAAAAAAAAAATCTACAATAATAACGGAGAATCTTATTATAGAAATTTTTATCCCTAGTATATCATCAAAAAAATTAATCTTATCCAATTATCAATTCATTTGACAAGACTTTTAGATCTGAATAGGTCTAAGAATTAGATTTTCTTGTTTCATTGGCAACATTAAAATAAAAAGTTTTAGCAAAAATGGTCTGTTGGCTATATGGCCTTTCATGCATAGTTAGAGCCAAACAATTTGGGTGGTAAACGAATACACATAAATGTATTGGTTCCAATTGTAGTGATGGCCTATACAAAAGAGGAAAGAAATGAGGTTACCCAAAATAGAAGAACAAACAAATAAGGAGGAAACCTTATGTACTTTTATGGATATTCCATTTAAAGGAAGAAAAAAGAAAAGGGAAAGTTCAACCTAAGTTAAAGTTTGGCAGCAACGGTTTGGTTTGTGACCCTGCCTTAAAAACAAGGGCAAGTTCAACCTGACATGAGTTTGGCAAGTCTCTTTCAATTATCTTCATGCATTTGATGCTCAGCTCTCTACCTTCTTATAGGAATCAAATTTGCTTACACATCTTTAAAATTCTATACGTGTGGGCATTACTTACTTAGTGATCTAGTTAGCGTGTTCGAAACCTCTTCTCCTTAATTTTTTAGAATATATAAAAATAAATAAAATTAAAAAATAAAATCCCAAATATGTAAAAAATTCAGAGGCAGCAATAATTGAACATTACCCAGTAGTCTAGTTGGTAAAGCCCAGCTTTCTAAACGGATGTGTCCATATTCGAGTCCTCACTCTCCCTAATTTGTCAAGATAAAAAAGAAGAAGAAGTAGAAGAAGAAGGGTAGTGATAAATTTATTTATTACAAGGACCGGTTCAAATCCCGTCATGTCTTGGTATATTTTAATTGAGTGCATAAACAAATGTCGTGATATGCCTGACTCACTCAATATCTACTCCACCAAATAAATGCAGTCTGTTTGTTCACATGCAATGAGCAATTAATTAATTATAGAAAATTCCAAAAAATAGCCCCTAATTTAAAGAAATTAAAAATAAAAAATGCTTAGGGAGATAAGTTCTTGTTCAAGATGAAACCTATTCTTTGGTAGGTATACATGGTTAAACCTAAATAAATTGTTATAATATGTTCTTAAACAATAACATGAAAATGATAAGCAGATCTAATACGCTCTTTGTTGGTCGAAAGCTACACCTTTTTTTTGGCAAGAAAAACAGCCATGTCAGTACGGCATCTACAAACACATCCATAAATACCATACAAAAGGCAAACAAATCAAGAAGCAATACAATAAAAACTGAAGAACAGGCCTCCGATTTGTTAAGAAACAAGCCAAAAAACACCACAGGGTGAAGAGCAACAACGAGAGGGATCTAAAGGTCAGGCCATCATCAAGGAAACAGCTCCAAAGTTACATCCATAAGGTGCCGCAGACTAAGGAAAAAATCACTTAAACCCCGCACAAAAAGACGAGGACACCAAAATTCGATATAGATTAGAGATCTAGCCGGAGACAAAACACCAAATCCACCCTGTTAGGCCAAATCAGGAGCAGATCAAACAAAACTATAACAAAACAGCGTAAAACCACCCACCGAATTAAATTATTTACATTACGCCGAATTTATTTATCGACGAGAGATAAGAGTCAGCCCCTTCCCACTTCCTTGAGGGGGACTGGGGAGCAAAAGGAAGAAGATGAAAGGAAGGTGGCGGAGGTTGGTCGAAAGCTACTTGGCATCTAATGATATCATACTATTTACCCAAGTGGACAAGATCAATAATTTTGCAAGTGCAATGACAAAAGCCATAGTTAATAATACAATTAAAAAACATCCCAATTTGTCGCTTACTCTTGATTTTTTCCCATCCAACTATCCAAACATGCATATTTCTGACAAGTAAACTAATACTCCCAAACGTTACTTCGAACCATTGGTTTTTCTATTCTACTTGTGCATTGTTTTTTTGATTGGCTACTTGTGAAAAAGGAATCCATATTAGGCTATTAATTAATGGTTTGTAAACATTTCCTAGCCTTGGAACCAATTACTTTTTTTTCTTACCCTTTAAAAAGAAAAAAGAAAGCAAATTTTTATCAGAAGCCATGATATTTTAGTCTCTTTTTTCTGTTTTTTTGGAAATATAGGCAAGGGAAGGACAATGGATGAATATACTAATTATCATCTATTAATAATTTTTTTTTAAAAAATAGATAATTAAATAAACAGTATATAATAATTAGTCAAAAAGTGGCCCAACACTCTCATACCCCTATTTTTCAAATGAAAGTCGAAGAGTTGAACTTCAGTGGAGAGGTACGTTAAGTAGACGGGATATTTGAGTTGAAATACTCTGAAGTCGATTAATTATTTTAATATGAATGACAACACCCGATCGTCACATATTTGTACGATCCAGCACAACAATCACAATTGACTCTACAAATCTGCGAAACACCTGATTATAGATCCTAGTCAAATTTGTAAATTTTCTTAACGATATTTCATAGCATTTACGGTAAAGCGAAAAAGTTCCCCTTTTTATCTTTCCACAATATCATTTATTTTACCCTTTATAGAATATTCCCTAGAGACCAAGTATCTTTTTTTGATGATTCTCACTCTTTACTACTGGTTAGCCATTATTAGCCGTTCAAGTAAGCCTTGATAATTATGAATTAATTTGACACCATATTCTAAAGTATTTCTTGTTTAAAGTGGTCCACCACTAGTAATTATATATATCAAGAAAAAAAATAAAGCATCACGTTGACATGAACAATCTAATATTCTCTCATATTAACGGCCCAAAAGTGCTCTCCATGTATGAGAATTACTATTTTTGTATGTTCAGGAGGAAGTCGACAGTACATTTTTCTTTAATTAAATGAGTAGGAGACAATAATGAACTAAAGTCAAAATACAACAATAGCCCTCGCTAACCTCGCCAGTGATCATATATGAATATAATATTTTAGTTGTACATCATTACATTAAGGAAGTGATCTACGCACTTCTTTTATTTTTAATTTTTATGCGCCTTTCCATTCTTTTTCTCCCTCGCACTTTCTCTTTTTTTACTTTAAAAATAATAATAATTACAATTTATTTAATTTTTAAAATTTTATTTATCACACAACTGGCTCCATTTCAATTTTCATTTTGGTCCACCAAATAAAAGTTTGGCAAACAGCAAAAATTCCTCTCAACTATCACGATTTTATAAAAATATCCTTTGATGTAACGAAAGAACCTCTTAAATTATCAAAAGTATGTAACTTAGATAACAAGATAGTAATTTTACAAAATTATCATGATAAACTGGTTTGCCATTATTAAATAGTGCCGTGTTGTTTTAATTCTCTTTAAATTAATCTATTCATTATAAAAAATATATATAAAAAAAAAGTTATTTGTTGACTCATCCAATATCGCTAAAGTATGACAATCACACTATTCAGTAACAATAATTAAAGTATTTTTTCGATTATTTGGAGTCGGTTATGATTAAAAAAGGAAAAAAAAAATAATGACACTTCAAATTCAAATAAAATATGACAAATCAATTGAATTCAAACAAAATAACAGATCACTTTAAATTCAATTGAGACGATGAGTTGATAAAATTTCTTAAAAAATATCTTTTATTTAATCACAAGAAGCTCGTATCTATCTCAATAAGTTACAAATATGAGACCGGTCAACTAAAAATATAAAACACAATTGCTTATAGTCTTGCTATTCTTGATATATATATATCTCTCATCATTAACTTACTCGTTAGAGTGTACCAAACCTACACCTCATCCATGTCAATCAATGTTCCCGTGTTAACCCGGATTGTGCAAAATTATGTTACATATCATATATATATATATATATATATATATCAATTAGTATCAAGTAATTTTATTCATACTAATTAACATCCGAACTGACAAGGCTTCAAAATGAATTACTCCGTAGTTAGGATTCCATCCAACCACAAGTACAATCCTTTAGTCCACATGCAATTGTAAGATTAATTTTTTTTTTTAGTTGGTACTCACATACATTTGCCTCCATCGAGATTCGAACCCCTAATCTCTTTTAAAAAAATAAGAACCAAATACCATTAGACCACTGCCTGTTGGTAAGATTAATTTCATAGTTCTCTTATTTGGTACATATGGATTCAAATTTTCTCAGCCTCGTGAATGAACAACTACCACTAGAATTTTCTCAGCCTCTTTTCCCTCACATGTCTTGTTGTTTCCTTTAAAATAAAATAAATAATAATAATAAATAAATAAAATCAATTTCCAAGTAGAACATCCTCCCTAGTCCCTGCAATAATTTATTCAAACATGTGTTGTCTACTTTAAAGCATGCATGTACTGACTGATAAAATAGTTTGTGGACTTCTCTGGTGGGCCCAGCCCATTATACACCGTTCACCAGTTTTGCCAGGTGCATTCTGAGCCGTTCAACTCAGTCCAAGAGTTATGCAACAGCCGTGTACCTACCTTTTTCTAGGTAGGTGAAACGTAGACCCCTTGGATCTCACGCCTTCTAAAGCTGACCAATCAACGACTCCATCGTTAACTGGAGTGCAGACATTGATGTTTCAATATGACCAAAAAGACCTTGCCTTATTCCAGAATGACAGGAGAATTTTGTTTTTTATTTTTCTAAAATATTAATGAATAAAGAATATTACTAGTACCTCCCAAATATTCTCAAATTTCATCGTGTAAAAAGGAGGGAAAAAAAAAAAACATTAATTTAGACTTCTGAAATTTTTTGTTCAATGAAAAAGTTGAGACAATATTAGGATGGCAATTTTCTTCGGTCCGACAAGTTTTCGTCTCACCGCATTTTTAATAGGACAGATTTAGTAACAATTCGGGATGAATATAATAAAATAACTAAAAACTCGAACTGGGTTTGGGACTAATGGGGATGTAGTGATAAATCCACCCCTATCCCGATTATATATGTACCTTTAAAATTTTTATATATAAAAAATATATATATTTAATATTTTGAATATTCTTGTTATTTTATTTTATTTTTCTTTTTTTTTAGATTACGACCTACAACACATAAATCATTCAAGTTATAAGTGCAATTCGAAAGCGAGAGTTCAAGAATTCTGAGTGTTAGTTATTATATTAATATTTACTATTTGTTATTATATTAATATTTACTATTTAGTAATTAAAAATCGTTATTAACTCAATTTGAGTTTTTTTTTAATTAAATAATAAAAGTAACAAAACTTATTTTGTCTTCGTAATTAAATAGAGTATGTAAAACAAGTCTATACTTCGTCTTTTTTAGAACAGGGGAGAGAATGATCGCAGGCACTAAAATATATGCAAGATTAGTCATAAAGGTGATGAGTGGAAGTTGATATAAAGAGGATGATTCCTTGCATCTCCACCCTGTCACCAACTTTGTAAAAAGGTAATAAAGTGGGATTGATGGAGACATAAATTAATTTACTAGTGCCAAGTTGAAGTGATCTTTTCAAGACAGCGAGTTGAAAAAATATACAAAGTTTGCAAATTTGATGATGAGACAAGTGAGAAAAATCTCAAACCTTTTAATTTAATTTTATGTCTTTTTATTCTTTATTTGATTTTATCACATATTAAATGTAATTGAAAGCTTGTCCTCTACCATATCGTAAGTGCAGACAAATACTGCCATGTGAGGAATCATTAGACTTAAAAAGAGTATACATTACTAAAGAATTAATATAGGATCTAGTATTCAAATATAATTAATATTCGCTAAATAATAATAATTAAATATCAAATGAGAGATCTCAAGATGAAAAGTTGTATTTCACTTAATCCAATGGTTGCTCTCCTTAACAACACGGCTCTACATATAATCTTTTTACACTTAGAAATACTATAAAACTAGTCATTTAGAATTTGATAACCGAACAAATTAAAAAAAATTATTGTCGTATGTGGAGGTCTTTTGGAATTGAGAAAGAATAATAAATAATACTAGGAAAAGAAAAAGAAAGATAAAAGGGTATTTCAGTAAACTCAGAAGGGAAACAGTCCAGAGCCAAGTGGAGACAGAGGAGGGCCAACGAATGCCCTATTTGCTGTTCCTATAAAACTAACGAAAAAACCACTTTATAACTTGCTCTGGCTTTGGGTTGTTTTGCTGCCACTTCCTCTCTCTAAATCAGCGGCCGCCTAGCGGCTGCTACAACCCCCGAGCCATGGAACGAAGGAGGACCCCACCACCACCACCCTCCTCCCCCACAACCGGCGGTGTGATACTCGGAAAGTACAAATTGGGCCGTCTCTTGGGCCGTGGCAGCTTTGCCAAGGTCTACCACGGCCGATCTCTATCTGACAACACAACAGTGGCCATCAAAGTCATCGACAAGGCCAAGACCGTCGACGCCGCAATGGAGCCACACATCGTCCGGGAAGTCTCCGCCATGCGCCGCCTCAACAACCACCCCAACATTCTCCAAATCCACGAAGTCCTCGCCACCAAAACCAAGATCTACCTCGTCATGGAGCTCGCACAGGGCGGCGAGCTCTTCGTCCAACTCGCCCGCCGCGGCCGCCTCACCGAATCCGCCGCCCGCCGCTACTTCCGGCAGCTAGTCTCCGCCCTCCGCTTCTGCCACCAGAACGGCATCACTCACCGCGACATCAAACCCCAGAACCTCTTACTCGACGGAGCCGGAAACCTCAAGATCTCCGACTTTGGCCTCTCCGCCCTGCCGGATCAGCTAAAAAACGGCCTCCTCCACACGGCTTGCGGAACTCCGGCGTACACCGCGCCGGAGGTTTTCACCCGAAAAGGCTACGACGGCGCGAAGGCCGACGCCTGGTCTTGTGGGGTCATCCTATTCGTCTTCCTCGCCGGATACCTCCCTTTCGACGACAGCAACATCCCCCAAATGTATCAGAAGATTCGCCGCCGGGAATTCCAACTTCCGGCGGAAATTTCAAAGCCGGCGAAGCACATCATTAATCGCTTACTTGATCCGAACCCAGAAACAAGAATGAGCATCGAGGCCTTGATGGGTCTCTCTTGGTTTAAGAAATTATCGGAAAAAGAGTTGAACCATTGTTCTTCACTTGATTCGGATGCAGTAGCAGTGAAAGATAATTGTAAATTCACAAAAACCATGAACGCATTTGATATAATTTCAATGTCATCAGGGTTGGATTTGTCCGGACTTTTCGAGGGTTCATTGAACAAGAGAGCGAAGAGATTTACGTCGAATGCGTCGATGGAGGTGATCGAAGAGAGGATGAGAGAGGTGGGTGAGAGATTAGGGTACAGAGTGGAGAGAGGAAAGGATGGGGCTCTAGGGTTTATGAAGGAAAAGTGGGGGGTTTTATCAGCTAAAATGTTGGAGGTGACAGAGGAACTAGTGTTGGTTGAAATGAAGGTGATTGATGGGTGGGCAGAGATTGAGAAGCAACAATGGGATGTAGTGAGAATTGGGCTTGAAGATATCGTCCTGTCATGGCACAACGATGGTTTTGGAGGAGAAGAATCTCAGTAGAATAGTGCCGGAATTGAGTTCATGATGGTGGTTACTTGGGAGAGGGTTTGCTTAGGGTTTAATAGATGATCCACTTTGGATGAGAAGCGAGAATCAATCTTGGTGAAAACATGACTTTTCTTGTAAATATTTGATTCTTCTTTCAAACTAGTGTGTGTTACTAGTTATTTTTTTCAGAAAATTTAGTGTTCCTAGTTGGCTAGTCAATTTCTCATGTTGATGTTCTGCGAATCCTCAACCTATCTATAATTTTATATACAATTACAGACACACACATATATATATATACTTATATAGTGATGAATTCAGTTCCGTGGATTGTATACACCTCACTCACATGAATTGAATTATTCAAAACTGCAGTCCTTTGGAGTTTGGAGCAAGAGAGAGTTGCTATGTCTAGCATGACTGCATTAAACTTGGTTCATGACTACGAGTGACTACTACCTTTTGGCAAAGTAGTTCTTTTTGCCATAACTGGTAACCTCTTCTCTTTGACTTTTCATTCACGTCCAAAACCCGTACATATCGGACTTTCCAATAACATCCAAAGAAATTCTTATGGTTTTTTATCCTCAAATTCATGATATCTTTTAGCAATGAAGTTTATTATTTTAGGTAACAAAATGACTATCTTTTTTTGGGACAGAGAGAGTATTATCTTTTTTTTACGTAATAGAAATAGAGTAAAAGTAGAAGCAAGAATCTCCATAATTAATATACAATGTTTTAATTTAGTGAATCCAATAATTATGTGTTAATATCTATTCAGTTAGTGATATAAATACAATGTGTTAATTTACTGAATCTAATAATTATGTGTTAATATCTATTCAGTTAGTGATACCATATACAACCGTTTTCTGAAAATAAGGCCTTTTTCAAACATTTTTCATAAAACAATTTTCAAGAGAGTACTATCTTTTCTACGTAGAAGCAGAAACAAGAATCTCCATAATTAATATATAATGTTTTAATTTAGTGGATCCAATAATTATGTGTTAATATCTATTCAGTTAGTGATATCAATACAATGTTTTAATTTAGTGAATCTAATAATTATGTGTTAATATATATTCAGTTAGTGATACCATGTCACTTATACAACCGTTTTCTAAAAATAAGGCCTTTTTCAAACATTTTTCATAAAACAATTTTCAGAAAATTGGATCAACTAATCAGAGTTTTTATACAATTTTCTGATTTTCAACATAAAAAAGTTTTCTGTATAACAAATCAAGCACACAGATAAAAGCATTATCTTCTCAGATAGTCCTGTAAGAAACACCAGGTTATACATACTTCACCTTTCCTGTAACTCCTTGAAGCTTCATTTCCTATCATGGATGACAACATTAGTGATTGTTTGTTAGTGGAGAGTGACAGCTTGAAAAGGAAAGGTATAAACTATAAAGGGAAGAAAAATAGAAAAACATTTTCCTCTGTATTAGCACACAATTCACGAGTTTACACAGGTTCTCTTTATAGGAGAGAATACACGTACATAGCCTAATTAATAATTTCCTATTTTACAGCATTTGACCAATATTCTATTTACAGAAAATATTCTCCAAATATTATATTTACAGCTAATAATATATATTAGCTTTGGTAGTATTACTACCAAATCTTTCTTTTTCAATACTCCCCCTCAAGCTGGTTTGAAGATATCCTCCATAACCAGCTTGCCAATTAGTCGATCGAACTGTCTTGTAAGCATATCTGCAACTTGCTCGGGAGTAGGAATGTATGGCATACAAATTAATCCATTTTCGAGCTTTTCCTTGATGGAGTGTTTGTCTACCTCCACGTGCTTTGTTATGTCATGAAGCACTGGATTGTGAGCGATCGAAATAGCAGCTTTATTGTCACAGTACAATTTCATAGGCAATGGATTAGAGACCTTTAATTCATCTAATAGTCTCTTAATCCATAACACCTCACAAATTCCATGAGCAACTGATCTAAACTCGGCCTCTGCACTGGTTCTCGCTACTACATTCTGTTTTTTACTCCGCCAGGTGACAAGGTTACCTCCAACAAAGGTGCAGTAGCCAAAAGTTGACCGTCTATCAATAGCACACCCAGCCTAATCTGCATCAGTATAGGCTTCAACTTGTAAATGCCCACGGTTTTTTAACAATAGACCTCTTCCAGGGGTCCCCTTTAGGTATCTAAGAGTTCTGTAGACTGCATCAAAGTGTTCTCGTCCAGGTGAATGCATGAACTGGCTAACCATGCTGACTGCAAAAGCTATATCTAGACGTGTATGTGACAAGTAGATTAGTCTTCCAACAAGTCTTTGATACTGCTCTCTATTCAAAACTTCTTCATCTTTAGAATGCTGCAGCTTAAGGTTAGGCTCAATGGGTGTCTCGGCTGGTTTACATCATAGCAGACCTGTCTCACTAAGTAAATCAAGAACATATTTACGCTGATTCACAAATATACCTTCTTTGGATCTAGCAAACTACATTCCAAGAAAGTATTTTAATGCACCAAAATCCTTGATCTCAAAGTCAGTTGCAAGTCTCTTTTTCAGTCTCTTCAATTCTTCATTGTCATTACCTGTCAAGACTATATCATCCATATAGACAATTAACACTGCAACCTTACCTTCTCTACTGCGTTTGTAGAACATGGTATGGTCAGCTTGGCTCTGACAGTAGCCACAATTCTTCACAGCTCTCCCAAATCTCTCAAACCAAGCTCTAGGGGACTGTTTGAGACCATCTAAAGATTTCTTCAGTCTACAGACTTTATTAGGTCCCAATTTCCGCTCAAACCCAGGTGGTAGATTCATAAAGATCTCTTCCTCAAGATCTCCATTTAAAAAGGCATTTTTTACATCTAACTGGTGTAATGGCCAGCTAAAATTCACAGCTAAATATAACAAAATTCTGATTGAGTTTATCTTGGCTACAGGAGTAAAAGTTTCTTGATAATCAATTCCATAGGTCTGGGTGAACCCTTTTGCTACTAGTCTTGCCTTGTACCTCTTTATCCTACCATTAGCTTTACATTTCACCGTAAAGATCCACTTGCAGCCTATTGTTCTTTTCTCCTTAGGTAAATCAACTATCTCCCAAGTATCACTTCTTCTAAGAGCATTCATCTTTTTTATCACTGCTAACTTCCAATTTGGATTATCAAGAGCTTCCTGAATGTTTCTCAGGACAAACAAGTGTGAGATTTTTGAGGCAAAAGCTCTACGAGTATGAGAGAGTTTTTCATAAGAAAGGTATTTAGCAATGAGATATTTTGGATTTGGATATTTGATTTGAATACCTTTCCTAACAGCTATAGGAATATCAAGGTCTGATGGTTTTTGAGTAGGAGAAGCAATAGGAACTGAAGATGAGTTAGGATCAGAATTACCTATGATATCTGGAAGTCCAGTTCCCGGAGATTGAGATTGATCAATTCCAAGAGGAATAGGCTGACTTTGACTCTTTTGATGAAATATTCTCCGAGTATAAACCAGAGGCTCAGTATTGGGAACTTTTGTGCCTAGTTGTAGTGATTCTTCCCTTGTTTCAGATACAATAATGTTTGGCACTATATGACTAGGATTTTCTTCATTATTTTCATTGGTGTTATCACATTGTTCCTGACTTTGAATTTCAGGAATAACAGTAGGATGAGGTAAAGGAGTCAAAATCACATTTGGTAAAGGAGTAGGAGATAAATCCCAAAAAATTTCGTCCATCACCTCATTCTCCCCCTGAAGAGAATTTTTGGGAAAGTAGGATTTATTTTCAAAGAAAGAGACATTCATACTTACATAAAATTTTCTTGTTTGGGAATTATAGCACTTATATCCCTTTTGATTAGAAGCATACCCTATGAAAACACATTTTTCAGCTCGAGGATCAAGTTTGGACTAAGTATTATTGGGTATATGAACAAAAGCTATGTAGCCAAAAACCTTTAGAGGTAAATCCGAGTATATCCTTGATAATGGAAAAGTTCTTTTGAAACATTCTAATGGCGTGCTATATTTTAAAATACGTGAAGGCATTCTATTAATCAAATACAAAGCTGTTAAAACAGCTTCCCCCCAAAGATATTTTGGAACATTCATTGAAAACATTATAGCACGAGCCACTTCAAGTAAATGTTTATTTTTTCTTTCAGTAATTCCATTTTGTTGAGGAGTATCCACACACGTAGACCAATGATGAATACCCTTTTCTTTAAAAAAACTCCCCAAAATTTCATTAAAATACTCGGTTCCATTATCAGTGTGAAAAATGTTAATTTTTGCTTGAAACTGAGTTTCAACCATTGTGTAAAAATCCTTAAACAAATTTTTCAACCTTAGACTTTTCGTTCATCAAATAAACATAAACGGGTATGCTCATCTATAAAAGTAACAAACCATTTTTTCCTAGGGATAGTAGTGACTCTTGAAGGTCCCCAAACGTCACTATATATTAAATAAAATGGTTTTGAAAAAGTATAAGGTTTTGGCAAATAAGTAGTACGATGACACTTAGATAAGTAACAACTTTCACAATAGAACAATGAACAGTCCAAACCTTTAAATAAAGTAAGAAACAAATGTTTAAGATATGGAAAGCTAGGATGTCCTAGTCTTAAATGCCAAAACATTATTTGTTCATAAACAGAGTTAGAACTAATACTACTAAGGTCCTGAGCCTTTTTATTACTGGAGAAGTCCCCATCAAAGTAGTAAAGTCCATCTATTATCTTAGCACTGCCAATCTTCTTCTCCGAGCTCCGGTCCTGAATTTCACAGTAAGAATCACAGAAAATTACACGACAATTAGATTCTTTAGTTAGTTTACTCACAAACAAAAGGTTACAGGTTAGTTTAGGGACATGGAGAACATTTTTAAGATTTATATTCTCGGATAATTTTATCAAAACCTTTTCCTGCAATAGGTGAGAAACTACCATCTGTAATTCTAATTTTTTCAAGACCAGAACATGGTGAGTAAGTGCTAAAAAGATTGGAAAGGCTGGTCATATGATCAAAGGCTCCAGAATCGATGATCCATGGAGTATAATTTAAACAACAAGAAAGGGCATTAAGTGCACTAACTGTTTGTGCAAGAGAAACATTAGGAATACCAGATAAGGAATTAAATTTCAGTAGCTTCAGAAGGTGATCCTGTTGGGAAACGTGCAAGTTTTTAAAACTTTTGAGGGATTTGCAATCATGGATCTTGATTCATCACATAGAGACAAGTTTTATGCAAAGACAAATAAAAGATGATGTATAATTTAATAAACAGATTGAATACTTACATCAAAGGTTTGAGTAAACCTTTTAATCTTTCCTCTAAAGTGAATGTTCTCACTTATTGTAGATCCCTTTAGTAAGATCATTTCTCCTTCTTCTTGATTATAATCTTCCCTTTAGGAATCATCAATATGCCTTGAGGAATGCCCTTAGAATCTAGGCTTGTGGTAGCCTCCTTTAGAAGAGAAAATAAAACCTTAAAATCTAGAGAGAGAAAGTGTATTCCTTTTTCTTGTTCTAAAAGTCACACCTAAAATATACATGAACTCATGTATATATAGGCAAAATAAAAATAAGAATAAGGAAACAATAAATTATTCTCCATCTCTAATTCAACTTTCTCAATTCTAACAGGACTCCAATATCAACTTGGTCTATTGGTGAGAATCCTTTTGGGCTTACTATTTTCTTGGCTCCTATAAATTAATAATTGGTCCGGTCCATTAAACCATGGACCCAATTCAATTAATTCATAAATTAATTTATACTCCACTAAAAGAAATTAATTGCACTCCAATTAAATAGTAAATAACCTCTAAGTCAATGTTACACTTTGACCCCTCTATGTTTAATTATTTATCGGATAATTAAAGTCATCAATCCGACAACATAATTAATATAATTATTTTGTTACCTTTGATTATTTCCAGCTTGATTACAATAAAATATTTATTTGACAAAAAATAATAATTTATTAAATAAATATATATAGAAAATATTTGTCTAAAACATACGAAGGCCTTCGAATTTAATTTGTGATCAACCATAATCAAAATAAAATAAATACAACTAGCACTGATGCAAATATTGAAAATATAGACCTCTAACTATTAATTACATAACTACTCAAAGTGTCGATCTAAGGATTCCGAGGTATTCGCCGAACAAATCAAAGTAATTATTAATTAATAAAAGAGTCTATACTTCTCTCATGCTTGAGAGTCAAAAACTATGACTGTGATAGAGAGCAATTGCATACGACAGCTCTCGCAATATTTCTCAATCTATCGTAGACTCGGTTCAAGTCTTAACTAATTAAATGTCCATCCATAATTACCGACTTTAAACCATTTATGATTACTAATTTATAACATAGTATTAATTGCCATTACATACATATATAAATATATTTTGTAATCAAGTGGACACAATCAATTCCATAATGAATCGAAAAATAATACATTCCATTCACTAATTGTATAATGCTTTAATAATAATATCCTGATAAGGAACCATGACTTTTACAATCCAAAACTAGAATTTGCTATGCTAGGGCACACATATCCTAACAGATCTATCTCCTTCTTGCTTAAGGGACTTGTCTCAGCTTCATTGGCAGTAGGAACCATACGCCTATTTCTGTCACCAGGCTTGCTACTCTTCCAATTCGCTGGTTTTCCGTGGATTTTCCAGCAGTTCTCTTGAGTATGGCGTGGTTTGTTGCAGAAGTCGCACCAAACTCATGGCTTTTCTTCAAGTTTTAGCTGAAAATTGACTGCTTTATTAGCAGCAGTCTCGGCAACAATAAGGGCAAAACTTTCAACAGGTCCGCTGGTAGTCTTCTTCCCCAACATTATATGTCTGCGGCTCTCTTTTCTTCGAACCTCAACAAACACTTCACCAATTGGAGGAAGTGGAGTCTTGCCAATGATCCGTTCTTGTTCTTCATCAAATTCCACGTTGAGCCCAACAAGAAATTTGTAAATACGATGAGCCTCCACGGTTCGTTTGTAGTGATTGGCATCTTCAGTGGATTTCCATTCATAATCATTGAATAGATCCATGTCTTGCCAAATGCGCTTTAATGAATTGAAATACTTGGTGTTCGAGTCTTCTCCTTGCCGAATCTCACCAAGTTTTAGAGTCAATTCGTAGATCTGAGACTGATTTCCCAAATCAGAGTACATCTGATCCACGTTGTCCCAGAGCTCCTTAGCCGTGGAGTATCACATATAGTTGGAGCTAATATCCTCGTCCATGGAGTTCAAAAGCCAAGTCATCACCATTGAATTTTCTGCATCCCAGGTCACGTACGTTGGGTCCTCCGATGCTAGTGCCTTCTTGTCTCCCGTCAGGTACCCGATCTTTCCCCGCCCTTTGATGTACATCCGAACGGACTGGGACCACCGTAAATAATTGTCACCATTAAGGCGAATATTGGTGATCTGAACCGAGTGAGAATCGGTACTGGGGGCTTGGCTTGTCGGATTTGTTGACTGGGTTGTGATAGGCGAGGATGACATGGAGGAACCGTCAGACATGGCTGACCAATGAAGAAATTGTGCAGAAAAGAAAATTAGGGTGTTTTTTTTTTTTTAGGATGGCTCTGATATCATATAAACTATAAAGGAAAGAATATATTTGGTAGTATTCTTTCCTTTTCAATAAAAGGAAAGCATGGCAACGGTACTGACATTATTATTGGAACTAAAATATATAACCAATCAGGAAAATATATAGGGTAGTGTTTGATAACACCATAGTTCTCTTGGGCGACAAAATGGGAAATTCTATTAATTTTATTGATACATTTTCCGGTTCTGAGAAAATTAGTATACAACACCATAGTTCTCAGAAATTCAAATAATTTTCTTGATACATTTCCTGGTTCACGTAGGACTTCACAGCTGAAGATATTTTCAGAACTAGAAAAAAATATATATGAAAAGTGTGTTTCACGGACAGTGCTGAAAACTGATTCAAATTGAACTTTTTCAGAAAAAAAAAATAAAAAAAATAATGGCATGAAGAATCACCTCCGTTGAGATCAAGGTGAATAAATTGATGATGCTGGTAATTCCCTATAAAATTACATTAACTAAATAGAATTTATACTTGAGCAATGTATCCCCCATCAGCACTTCTTGAAAAAAAAAAAAATAATAAATAATGGCATCAGATCTTAAATGGATGCTTATTTACAATACTTCTTGAACCAGACTCCAACATTGAGAAAGCTTTCAAAGTCGGATTGTGGTCTGCGAAACAGAAACATGCAACATATGTAAAATTGCACGGTCAGCCTGAATTTTGATTAAATTGACTGTAATGTGTAAAAGCACGAAGGGGGAAAATTTACTTCTCGATTCCATGTACATCATTGGGAAACATAATCACTTTAACCTCGACTCCCTTCTCCTTTAATGCACGTACATACTGTACAAATCAAACATCAAGGCATTCACATTATCAATGTCAACTCTAATTTTGTTTATAAAATAGAGAATATTCAACGATGCCTTGGGTCCACCGGGGAAAAGATGGGGCTAGAAAAACTCCCACTGTTTTTATATTTTATATTTCTATGGCCAACCATTTTAACGTAGAAGAAAATATAGGACGAATGGCTGGATGAGGCAATCATTTTCTTCACTTTAACCATGTGAAATACTATGTTTTTTCAGTAAAGTATAGATGCAAGGCACAGATGTTAGTGATAAAAATTGTATATGTACATATATATACCCTAGTAAAAATTGGCCTGTTGGACACCTGCGCGCATGAATCTTAAATGTTCTAACACTTAAAAGCGTCATTTATATATCTGAAAGAAGTTCAGAAGCAAAAGGGTATTCAAGAGACGGTGATATAGTTTATTGCTTTTGCCATTGTTCTACTACGATGCTATGCATGCAAAGATGCGCCAAGTATAGAGAAATATAATTGTTTAATACTGTAGGCGTGGACATATATAGCCACAACCCTATGTGAAGACTGGAGAGTTTTCATGCTTGACACCCAATGTCTATGTTGAAACAAAACACTCAGTGTCTCTATAGACAAGAAAACAAAGATTCAGATTTAGAGTACAGAAGATCTTACCTGCAAACCATTAGAAACTGGAACACGGAGATCACGAGCCCCTAAAAGAAAAAGCGTAGGTGTCTTGACCTGTAAATATGATCAGTAAAGACATTTAGTACTACAAAGAACAGTATTCTATTAAATAAAGTAATTGTCCATGAGATTATGGTTTATACTTGAAAGTAGGAAATACTAGCAAGCGCTAACTTAGCTGCTCAAGGGTTGTAAAGGTTAGATTATAAGCATGCTCAACTTTGTAGAGTATACCTACTAGCTTACCGAAAAAAGAAATTAGAATATATTTTTTACCACTACTGTAGTTATATTGGACAACCAATTTGCCGGTATTTTCTATACCAAGGATCTTCAGGCTCTCATAGTTTATCTGTCCAATTCATGCATTGCTTTTTATGAATAATCAGGGCCAGGATCTTGGCTCCCCTTGTTTGCAGCACTAAAAAAAATGCAAAATCACAAAGCGTGACTGGAAACTTTCCCCTCGTCCCCTTCTTTGAAAAAAAAATAAAAGAATGATAAAAAGGAAAGGCTTGTAGGCTCATATTGTACCCTACAAATCTATATAATTGACGCTGTTAAGTAGGATCTAAGTACAAAACAATTATACATAATTTTGAATCCCACCCCCCCACACCACCACCCCCCCCAAAAAAAAAAAAAAAAAAAAAAGTCCAAAATGTATTTACCAAAAGCCATTGCATATATTACATAACATAGTAATTAATGTCTATGGAAAGCATACCGTTCATCATCATCAACTACAAGTACTTATACATAATTTTAAGTCCCCCACAAAATCCAAAACGAGTTTACCAAAAGCCCTTGAATATGCTACATGACATAATAATTGATGTCTCCCATTCATCATCATCATTATCATCATTGCCTCTATACCTACGAACACGGTCAACCACATAGATGCTCTTTTCCCATTCCTTTCTATTATAACTCATTTCTCCTATTATATTTAATTTTTTTAAAGTCATCTCTTACTATTTCATTCTATGTTAGTTTTGGTTGATTTCTTTATCTTTCACCTTCTATACAAACCAAATTTCCTCTTCTCACCATATATCTACCAATCTACTCTGAATATTTTCATACCACCTAAGTCTACTTTCTCTTATCTCTTATCACTAATAGGCGTCACTCCTAATTTTCCTGACACGTTTATTATTACTTATCTCTTCTAGTTACTCATAACATCCATCTCATTATTCACATTTCAGCCTTTTGAATGTGTTGTACTTGTTTCTTTTTTAACGCTCAACACTTTACTCCATATGAGATAGCCAGTCCAATAATTATCCTATGTACTTTTCCTTTTTAACTTATTTGATATTCGTTTATCGCATTAAACACTAGTTTGCTTTCATTTTATCCAACCTATTCCAATTCTATTAATTATATCATCACCAATATCTTTGTCATTTTTGCATCATCGATTCTAAATATCGAAATTGATTGTTTTGAGTAATGCTCTGGCTCAGAATTGTTATCACTATATTATCATTTTCTGTAGCATTACTATATTTACATTTTATATATCTTGTTTTAGTTCAACTCATTTTTTAATCTTTCGACTCTAATATAAAGCTAAGTTTCTAATTTTATTGCTAAGATTTCCTTAGAATTATCCAATAGCACTATACCATCAGCAAATAACATGCACCACGGAATGTCTCATTGTAGATCTTTCGTTATTTCATCCAAGATAATCATAAATACATGTGCACTTAGACTGTTCCTAGGTGTAATCCTACTTTTACAGAAAATCATTAGTCTCAGGGGTGGACCTAGAACTTTAGGTAAGGGAGGGCAAGGCTGAAATTTTGTAATAATTTTGGGGGGGGAGGGGGGGCATTAGCAATATTTTAGGGGTATATATTGAAAAAAGAAAAAATAGCATGGTATATTAGTAAAAAATTAAAAAAATTCAGGGGGGGGAATTCCCCCTCCCTGATTAGTCTCCCTGCATAGAATACAGTAGAGTCCACCAAATTATATCTCTTGATATTCTATCATATGCCTTTTCTAAGTCTATGAAAACCATGTGCAGATTTTTATTTATTTTATTTATCTGCTTGATAAAATTCCACTAATTGGCTCATAAGTAAAGGGTCTCTATAGTAGATCCATGCCGTCTTTGTTTAATTATCCTTTCTCATAGTTTCATGGAAAGCATACCTTTGAGACGTGTGAAATAGGCGACTTCTTGTAAAAGAGAGCAAGATGTTCAGCTGGATATGCTTCTGTAAAGCTAGATTTCCCCTCAACTCCACAGGCCTCCACGTAGCACCAATCTGGGATATCGGTTGTACCAACCATCAAAGCAAGGTTACAAGCAGGATTCCTTGTAGCCGCCGCAACAAACTTGTCTGGCGCCTGCAGAATTAAACTACCAATAACAATCCATTTCTAAAGTGAGTCCCTGCTAACTTAACAAAAAAAGTTTACATTGGAAATACAATTTACTTTTGAAGATGGGATCTCCAACAGCCAAACCTATAAATGTATGGACAGCGCATACCAAACATCTAGTGGCCTCATTGGGTTTTCAAGTAGCCATCCGCAAAGTTAAAAATCCAAGAAATGGAGGAGAGGTCATAAAGAAGTCTATGCAAGGTACAAATTAGAACAAGGGTGTATATTTAAACAATTAGAAGCTAGTCTCTGTAACGCTATCTAACCTGGCCAATCAAATGGGTTGTCAAAAAGCCACCATGGGAACCACCAAGTACTGTTATTTTTGATGGGTCAGCAAGTCCCATGTCAACAACATGATCTATAGCAGTGAGCACATCAGTGACATCCTGCACATATAAGCATAAGATATTAAGATTAACAAGAAATCCCAACTATTACATTGACATAGTGTAATAAAACTTAAATATTCTTGAAACTGTATAAATAAATCAGAAGCATGAATAAATAAATAAATCCGAAGCATGAATAAATAAATTAAACTGTATAATAAGCACCTGAGATCCAACTTTCCCTGGAAGAGATTGCAATGCTTCCTCACCAAATCCCAAAGAACCTCTGAGATAAATTACCATAATAATAAGATGCTTAAATAAAGAACAGCACCATTTCCTTTAACTTTTTATAGAAAGAAGAAGAAACAACTATTACTTTGTCCAAAAATTTCAAAGCTACGTGTGTGAACTGCAATCACATCACTCACTTGAAACTCATAGAGAATTTTATGTTAAAGAGAGATTACTGTAAACAGGTAGTATAACACAAGAGAAGTGTTGGAAAGGGCTAATTCAATTGGCTACTTGCACAAAATGAGAACAATAGAGAAACCTAAATAAACAAATGAATAATCTAACCAACAGGAAAACTAAAAGAAACAAAGTCCATCCACTGGCCAAGAAGATAAGTCGTTTTTAAAAATAAAAATAAAAATGTTTCGACATCTCAATTTTTAAAAAGGCTTCAATAGTTTTGTAAGTGCGCTAGCACAATTTCTGCGACTTGTGAACTATTCAAGAAAAATCATCATACTATTTTCTATTAATCAAAGAACTACATGTGCTTTGTTGTAAATGTATCAACCTAATTAAAATCTTGATTGCCCCACAAAGGCATAAATAGCTGCTTGAACTTGGCTTGCAAAGTAAAGTAAGGCTCATGCCAGAACGTAAAGCCGAGGGAAGGGGTACAGGGAAGGCTTGAATGCCATGAGCTTGACTCCCTAACGTCTAAAAGGCAAACGAGGAAAAACCTCATGCAGCCTCAATGCTCACCTTTGGTAGGAGATTCAAACTGTGAATATTGATATGTTTTAAAATAAAATAAAATAAACATTGACAGTGCACACTAATTAGAAGTAAGGTTGTCCTTTCTAAACTAAAACTTATCAAAAGCGAACTTTGTATTTTCTCTCTTTTACTTCTAGTTATCCCCGAGAATATACTTTCTATGCCTTCTAAATGCTTTTGAAGATCCAGTTTGATGTAGGACAAATTTATCAACTTTAGCTAGTGGTCCATGCTATTTTTTGGCTAACGACTGAATTTATAGGAAGCGAACATTTTGGAATTTTATTAATGGCCTAAAAGAACTCGAATTATTCTGAATTTTGGTATTTAGTAATTAGGTTTTGTTGGGGGCAGCGGAAGCATGCGAACATTGAGAACCAAATAAATTCAACAAAGCAATCACACACAAACACAAGATATAACGTGCCATGGATGAGAAGAGATTCCACTATGATTTGTAGAGATATTACAACACTAGAGTACCAACATAGTTTACATGATGCCTTTTCACCATGTACCACTCCACGAGCCTACTACCAGTGTCGCTGGTGTTTTTCTTACTCTACCAACCCATAACCTTTCTCAACCCTTCAACTTCCTCGCGAGACTACGTCTCTCTGAATCTCATGAGTCTCAACCCATAACCTAGGTATCTATTACCCCATTCTTTATTGGGCAAGGATTACAATTTATTAGAGGCTAAGACTCGCCAAACAAGAAATTACCCAATAGAACACAACTCTAAATAAAAACCTAATTAGAATAGGAATTTGAAGCACTATTTCCAACAGGTTTGGTATTCTATTTTTTTGTAATTTTTAGAGAAAGATGAATTTTGAGTAATAGGTTTATGCTATTAGTTTTTTTTATAGTGTTAGGTTTTCTCTATTATAAAGATGTATTTACTGCAAGAGCATATTACATTCATTTAGTTATTAATAATATATCAGATTGCTCTGCAATTTTCTCTTAACTTTGTGGATTCAAAGTTTTTTTTTTTTTTTTTTTTTTTTTTTTTTTTTTTCAGCATAATACATTCATCCACTTATCAATAATCTATCATATTGCTCTGCAATTTTCTCTTACCTTGATGGATTCAAAGTTGTTTCTGGTTCATTCATGAACGTTTATAGTTTCCACTCCACCAGTTGGTATCAGAGTCTTATTTTACTATGGTTTGATGAAGAGTGGCTCTTCTAAGGGCCGAATTTCAGGGCATCAAATGTGAAACAATGCAAGCACTGCAAGATATTCAAGCATCACTTGCTAGGATCGTGCTAGGTTCAAATCAGAACCTCGATACCAATGGGTTGCGCAACGACGACGTAAATTGTGTGGTCTTGTTCATAATCGCAACTCCACCCCTCTAAATAGTCAGTTAGCCAACGAAGAAATCGTGTTTGGGGATCATAGAGCTGCACGAAGGCATCGTGATCGTGGGTATTATGATTCTAAGGATTTTCATATAAAGATTGACCTTCCCAGTTTGAATGGTATCCTTTATATTGAAGATTTCCTGGACTGGTTGATAGATGTTGAGAGGTTCTTTGATTACATGGGGATTTAAGAAGATAAGAAGTGAATTTGGTGGCATACAAACTGAAGGGAATAACTTCTACATGGGGGGATCAATTGTGGATTTCTTGTGCCACTATAGAAGAAGGCAGCAGTACGATCCTGGTTGAAGATGAAACATTTTTTGAAAGGCAGGTTTCTTCCTCTAGACTATGATGAGATCCAGTTTCACTAGTACAAGGATTATAGGCAGGCGTGTCTAAAAAGGTTCAGGCCTATACCGAGTTATCACCGTCTTTGAAAGCTCAACCTCCTCCTCCAATGGAAGAGTTTGCACAAAAAGTAAGTATAGAAGAAGTTATATACGGCCAAGTACTAGAATCTCAAGGTAACTGCCTATAAGAGGAGAAGAAAGGAGATAAAAAGAATGAAGAAGAAGATACAAGGAATGAAGAAATAGAAAGAAAAAAAAACTCATTCAACTATTGCAAGTGGAAGTGGAAAGGACTTTAACATTGCAAAAGAAGAGGGTGACAACAACAAGGGAGCATAGAAAGTGAAAAATAGAATTCATGATGAAAGCAAAGACAACAACTTGGAGTCAAAGTTTGAAGTGGATTCAAACATATGTGATAATTTTGGTGAATTGAATATTCTTTTGGGTGAGAAATTCCGGAAGGCATTGGCTATGAAAGATGAAGTTCTAGAAACCAAGGATTCAAGTGGCGTAACCACACTAGCAGGGAGGAAAAGCATTCTGAAACTGGCACACAAAGAAACAAACTTTGAATTTTATACTGGTGCAAAATTGAGTTTGATTACAAGCATGACCTTACTTCCCATAATTATGAAGCACCTATCAAGGAATCAGGTGAAGTGGATAATGCAAAGTTCTTGCAGAAAGATTTGAAGGCAAGGAAATATAAATGGGCCGAAGAAATTGAAGCAAGTTTATCAAGAATTCAGATCAAGCACTCAATGGTATGAAATCTTGTTCATATTCATTCATATATACCTATGAGCCGCAGCGAAACTCAAGGACAAGTATTTTTTGAGGTGGAGGGGACTGATGTAGGACAATTTTATCAACTTTTTCTGGTTCAATTCAACCACATTGTTTCAAATTGTGAAGATCCATTCCTGATCAGAAACGACCCAATAAGCAAAACCCGTCGATGCTACTTTTTGGCCAAATTCAGTCATTTAGGACTCCAAAATAAGGTTTTTTTTTGTCTCATAGGCAGCGGGTATTTCGGAATTTTTGTTAGTGTCCTAAACGAACTTGAATTACTCTGAATTTTGGTATTTAGTAATTAGGTTTCTTATTTTACTTTTTTGTAATTTTTAGAGAAAGTTGAATTTTGAGTAGTTTCCTTATACTGATAGGTTTCCTAATGCTATTAGTTTCCTCATGGTGTTAGGTTTTCTCTATTATAAATATTCATTTACTGCAAGAGCAGAATATATTCATTCAATTATCAACATTAAATTAGATTGCTCTGCAATTTTCTCTTAACTTTGAGGATTCAAATTTGTTTTTTGTTCATTCATGAACGTTTATAGCTTCCACTCCGTCACAGTTTAATTCGGATGTTAAGAATTTAAAACTCCACATAACAATTTTTGTTAGGTTAGCTCAGACCAAAGGGCCAGTGGCCTAGCAGTACTAGACCTCTACTTCCCAAAGGGAGGTTAGAGGTTTGAGCCTCAGTGGAGGCATGTGTGTGTGAGTACCAAGTAAGAAAAAAAATATATATATATATATTTGTTGGGAATTTAGTTAGCAGTTCATGCATTCTTAATTGTTGTGACTTATTTATGATCAATTTATTCAGACTTAATAACACCAGACCATAAAAGGAAAACCATGACTAACCTATAATTTACAATCAGCAAGCTGTAACCAATTGAAGAGAGGAATGCCAAGGACTTTGAATAGCTCGTCAATGAGACAGTGTGAGGCCCCCCATGAAGCATTACAATTAGTGGCTCACACTTGTCATTTTTCTTGAAATTGGAGTGTACAAATATAGCTTCAAAAGGTTTTCTGGCGCCTAAAACAAATTGAATACAAACTCTTACAGACCTGTATCATAAAGGCCTCTCAAAGCCACAAAATAGAAGTAAACTAATAAACAGGAAGTAATAAGATTAAGATTCAATAAATCTATTTGCATCCAGCAAAAGAACAAATTTTTCTGCTAAAAAAAATCAGCAAGCATATTATTGATGGGGTCGCACAACACCATGTTAACAAATTTGTAACGACACAAGAAATTCATAAATATTCATACTCTTCATACTTTTTGTTATACGACTATTTTTTTAAACACATTACATGGTTTTGACAAATATATATGATATGTCCTGCTTCTTTTGGAATTGAGATCAAGTGTATCTTACATGCAAGTTAAATTTTACTAGTTCAAATTTCTTATTCCCTTCTATTTTATATGCACTAATAATTAACACCTTGTAATGCATATGGAGTGTCGATTAAACACTTGCAAACAAAAAAAAGAAAAATAAAAAGGAGTATCAATTAAACAATTTCAAACTTTTACATCGTACTATTAGTAATCATATTTCAGGTAGTCTTCTTTTTATTAACGGTTGCATCATTGTATAGCACCAATACAGGGGTGATGCAGCAAATCTAGTGGTAGTTATACAGACTCCCTGGATATAGTTTCTATAAACTCTAGTTTCTTTCACCATTTCAGTTAATTAACATGCATAGCTTCAAAAAATGGGATCCTCAAGATCTATACAAAAACTTTACACATGGCTATTCAATTATAAAGTTTATTAAGTTAGAAATCTTTCAGACAGGGATCTGCATGGAAAAGGTAGAAAGAGACAAAAGGTAAGTATCAAAGAAATGCTCCAAATCAACAATTTAGAAAATAGCTCATATGGCATGTGAATACTGTAATGGCCGCTTTCCTCTAGCACGTTCATTGATTCAATATTACATGAATTGGCTTTGCATTTGTGAGGAACTCATAATTACTAGTGTCCGCACATGACTGATTTCAAGAGAAACCTCCATCATACAGACTGAAAGACATCACATCACTCATATCTTATCAGGGAAGGATTTAGGTTTTCTCAGAGAAAACAGCCCAAGTATAAAATTCATTTTTTGGTAACAAAATAATTTTATAAAGCAAAGAAATGTGCTGGGTATGTCTTAAGGTGGACAAGAGATAGGTCAAGAGACACAAAATTGAAAGGCAAAATTTCTGTATTTTGAGAATGAGTTCTGAAGGATTTTTTATGAATCAGATATAAAAGAGACTTGAGGAGGCATAAGAAGGCAAATCATAGACGTTCAAAGAAACAGCAGATACCATGGGGGAAATTAAATTAGAAAAGAATTAAGGAATGAAGGATGAAACAAAGTGGGCAACCATAAATTGTGTACTTTACCCTTGCTTTTCTTATATATGCATCCCTGTATTTAACTCACAAAATTACAAATCATTAACAGACAGATGCTTAATACAAAGTTAAATCAGTTGGTAGGCATATAAATACTTAAAAGATATGGAAGAAACTGGTTATTATTGGGAACTTAGGCACCAAAGATGTAGCCCTGGTCCCATTTGCATTCAACATTGAGGTAACAGGTTCTATATAAACACCAGATGGCCATATAATACCTTTTGTAAGATCCTCAGAAACATCCCTGACTGGAATCTTTATTATACTAAATTGACGAGATGAGAGCAAACACTTAACCTGCAAAACATTGTGGTAAGATGCTAGGTTGACTAAAAAATTAACCATTTTTAGAAGTTAATCCCCATGTGAAGAAATAGTTATTTGAAGTAACAAAAAGGATATAACAGGCCTTCTCGGAGCATTTGTATATGGGGCTTGAAACATCTAGCCAACCCCATGAGGCAGGTGAAGATGCATCCTCAACAAAATAACCGTACTTGATTTGGGGAACGTCAACTGGACTGCTACATACTTCAAAAAGGAAAGATAGAAAACCAATTTCACTTTTTTTACATCACTATAAAAAATTTATGAAAAGCATCAGCATTTACTGTTACCAGCAACAATATTGTCCCCATCTAATGTGAGGACATCCCAAGAAAAAATTGAGTCACTAGGGCTGATCCGTGATACATTTCCGCTGTAAAATAGAAAAAAGTATCACACATTAAATATACAAGCAAGATCGACAACATCTCTACATTGGCAACACAAGAAGACGTCTTGTTAGTTACCTCAATATATTCACAGAAAGAACCACTTGAGTACTACCCCAGAAGGAAGAGAAAATCATTGTGTATCCATCAGAAAGCCAAGGTTTACTAAGGAAACTTGAACAGTAAAGCCCAGGAAAGCAACCATCCTCGGCACAAACCACAACAGGAACCTGCAAATGTACATAGGGTAAGACAAGGGTAAGTGCAATCAAATGCTATATGGAATAACTTGTGAAAAAAAAAAAAAAAATGCTATATGGAATAAAAGACCATCGTTTAAATATATAATTATTCTCTACATAAAAGCTTTCATTAAAACATATAGTACAAGAAAACTGCTTATACAGTATCTGAGGATAATACTGAATTTGGTGTTTTCCGTGGTTATCATGAATATAATTCACATATGTAATACTAGCATGCTTCTACAGAAAAGTCATGATGGATAATTACAGTATGGCGACTTTTTTAATTAATAACTTATACACGTTTTGAACCTAATTTCCTAACTGGGGAATCATGAAGCTGTTCCCAAATTACCGGAATTTTTTTTTTCTTCAGCTCTAGATTTCGCGCATATATTACACAATTTAGTCTTCATAGTGCTTAATTATCCACCTTAAGAGTTCTTGGATATAGTAAGAGATTTAACAAAAGTTAGCTTAGGTTCCCAATCCCACCCCGCACCATAAAGATCAAAAAATAAAAAAAGAAGAAGAAAAGGATACACCACCAAATGTTTTTCAGAGCCAAAGAAGCCCAATACTAAATCCAACCCAATTCAAGTTAATATGCAAGATATTGCCATGATGGCTTTCGATAACTTGAAACAATAGCAGTGCAGCAAAATTCCATTCCACCAAAATCAAGAATGGGATTATCAAAAATTCAGTAACTGTATTGTTTAAAGTTTTTATCCTTGTAACAGTGCAAGCTTCTAAAAGAATCGCTCACTCAGAAGAAAACAAAGAAGTATATAAAGAAATCAGCATTCATAGCTTGCTTACACAATCAAAAGTAGTCAAGTATCCACCGGCAGCAACACCCCCACCCCCAGCAGATGAGTTCAACTCAATTAATTCAATATGCAGGATATTTCCAAATACCCTAAAACATAATTCTTTCACCAAATTTCATATAGAACAGTGAATTAAAATTGGTCCCACCAAATACTAAAAAGTTATATCACCATGGAAGGAAAAAAGGCAAAAGAATAAATTTTTCAATAAATGGCATATGCAAGTTCACATTCTAGTACGATGCAAGCATTAAGAGACATGGTTGATAGACAGTATTGACAACTCATGAATGGAAAGACACCAAGAGTGAACAGTCATTGTCACAATTATATTTGACAGATAACAGAATAAGAGCTCACCACATCAACAACTTTTGCAGATGGACTGGGTTTTCCATCAGTTGGCCAATCAATTCTATGAAGTGAATTTGTTGCAGAATGTGCCCCAGAATCTACAGAACTTTGTGCAGATAAAAACACAAGGAACTTCCCATCTGGGCTGTAAACAGAATATTTCTACCAATCAGTGGTTCCAAGGCTGTTTCCCATTTTATTTACTGTACAAAGTTTTATTTAATAATATATCAAACACTACTACCATAGATTATTCAAAATAATGAGGAGTTAAATAGCTATAGAAGAAGTGGAAACACAATGATCCTGGGGTAATCCACTTGATATGCCTATATACTACTAGAAGCACAGAAAACAAGCTGTGAAAGGTAAAATCCTAAAAATTTTAGAGCCACATCCTTGCAAACAAGGAGAAAAACACATTTACACACACTGAAAAATCATACCATTGTTTTCTGTTTTATTCCCTCAAGGCTTTGTCCAATAAACTAACAAGTAATAAGACATGCAAAAACTGTGAGTGCTCACAAATTACAGCTTACTCCAAGACTTATGTCACAGGAAAATTACCCGAGAGAGAGAGAAAGACGCACACAATACACACAGGAGGAGAAAAAGCAACTGTGAAAACCGCACAGAACAAAGTGGAAACCAAGTATGCAACAAAAACGAACCTGAACAGTGGATAGAAAGCACTACTTATGCTTTGAGTCAAATTGAGCATGGTTACTTCTTTAGTTGCATTATTTCTGAAAAAAACAAGAAATTTGAATCAAATAGAAAGGCAAAGTCTTCCAATTCAATATCTCCCATGAAATGAGTCATACGCAGAAAGGTCTAATAAAACATTAGCATTTACTCGAGCAAGTAACTTACTGAGATTGAGGTTCTTTGGCTTCTGATTCATGAAATGGTGCTCTGACTGCATACAAGGCACAAGGCCTATTATAGCAGTACTTAATACCAAGCTTTCTTGTGTCTGATGACCACCCAACAAAAACCAAATACTTATGTAGTTCTTTAGTTGAGGGAGCCCACACAACTTGTCCAACACTCAACGACTTCGCAATTCCTTCAACAATGCGTACCTCTCCGCTGCACGAATTCATATTGAAATTTTACATCTGAAAAAATAAATAAATAAAACCATATCTGTCAAAAATCAACGTTAACAAAAGCTGGGCTAATATGGACCACCTGTTAGTATTGATGACAAATAGTGAAGGCTGCCTTTTCCCAACATAAGTTTCCCCCCAATCCTCTTCCCAATTCCCTTGACCTTTCCAGCTACCACAGTCCTTATCTGTGGAACCACCTTTCTTGTAGCCCAAACCACTAAATGTAGGCTTGGAGGGAGCAGGTTCCTCAGCAACGTAAGCTACGAGAGTTTCGTCAGAATTCCAAGAAATTCCCTCAAACCTGTGGCACAGGAGAAGTTCTAAGTGGCATACACATTGTGAAACTACAACAGTACTCCCAGATGAAAGCATAAGACACAGAAGTAACAAAGACTTAAAATAAAAACCCATGCATTTTACTATCTGAGTCTTTGATTTGCACAATGAGTTACCATCCATCTGAAAATACCGAACCATGGACAGATTGAGGAATATGAAACTCCTTTTCCAATTGAGATGGGCCCCAAATTTCAAATTGAGTGGGAGATTCATTTTCAGAATTTCGAACTACGAGAAGCTTTGAACCTGATGGTGATGGAATCATAATAGAGATGTCGGTCATCTCAACAGGAAATGGGGCCCATTGAAAGCTAACAGAACCGTTACTTTCTTTTGAAATATGACTGGATAAAATATGTTTCCTCCTCTTATTGGCCAGAAGATTTGGTTGGCTAATTGAAAACATAGCCTGGGAACCCTTTCCTGCAGCAAAATTATTATACAAAAATAAAGTCATAAGTTACGACCTTATGAGTGTTGGCTCTTGAAAAGGAAAAAGGATAAAAAGAAAAAAAAAAAAAAGAAAAAGCTCTGCACACTAGAGCACAAAATAAAAATGGAATAATATATCAGTCACATGCATACCGTCGTTAGATTTAAAAGTCCAAGCCTTATCAATGGCGGAGATATTTACAAATTGTTGAAGCAATTTAGACTGAGAAGAATATTCTTCTTCATTAGCTGTATCTAAACCCACTGGCATTTCATTCAGAAGGGAGGCTCTAGAAGAATCCATCGTTAAGCAGACTGAAAATCTTCTACTACAAGTTGAATAAAAAAGAATGGCAATGGGCAAAAATCAACAAGTGCAAACTATATGTGAGTGAGCAAAACTGACCAACTGCAAACTATGTAAGAAACTGAAAAGGTAGAAACATGTTTCACAATGGAGGAATGATAAGGTCTATATATCAATGGTGCAATACAAAAAGACCAAGTAGCCAACCACCTATAAAGTCAATTGTAATCATGGAACATAACAATACAAAACCCCCTATCCCTCACTTCGGCGCAAAAAAATATAAATAAATAAATAAAAACAAGTTCTATCGTCACATATGTATACATTGAACTGTAACACATTAACAACTTATCTGTTTTGGCCTCATTAGCAGCTCAAGTGAGATGGCAAAAAATTAAAAAAAAAATAGAATAAAAATGAGATATAATCACCAAAAAAGATGTATAACTTCGTATAAAAGGAATTTCTGAACGCAGACTATTTTGTTAACCGAGTTCTAATAATCCGATGGAAATTCCAGGAGTATAAACACCAATTACAACACAATTTCTAATTATGCCATAATTTTATTCCACTTCAGAATCTCAGGCTTACTGCTTACTTAGAACAAAGTGTGAATTTTGATGATTCTGATTGATTCCACTAATAGGGCAAGAAAATATATATCTATTTATCTCTCTCTCTCTCTCTATATATATAGCCTTTTATTTTCAATATTTGTTAGTGTCGCTAAAAAGTACAATTCTATTGGCTTTTTTAATTTTACCTTTTAAATACATAACTAATTGTTTGCTTTTCAACTCAACAGAATTCCAAATTTGCAGCTCAATGAGACATTACCGATTACATGAATAAAAGCATGTTAGTTCAAGTAATATAAGATCACTCATTTTTTGTGCTTTTAGTGTATTAATTCTGTGTTCTTCACCCCAAATAGGTCTGACAACAAATTCTGCTAATCCACTCAAAGAATCACCTTCTGATTACACACATCAGCTAATAAGAATGGTTTAAATTTATTCAATCTCTAATAGGGGATAATTATTAAATAAAAAAACTAATATACAGAGACATTTATATATTTGTATGCAAATATAAACATGTACAGAGAGGGACTGATGTAAAATTGAATACAATGGTCGCTCTAGATTACAACACATCATGTGTTCATAGTAAATCAACATAGCACTGTGAAGATAATTTAGCAGAAAATAAACTAGCAATCAACTCAGTTAGCACCAGTAAAATGGCAGTCAACGCAATGTAGATATATGATTTTAGAGAGAGAGAGAGAGAGAGAGAGATTACGTAGAGAGAGAGAGAGGTCTTGCAATGAGGCGTTTGGGACGACGAGTGAAGAAGAATCAAATTACCAGTGAATAAATATATTTGATTCTTCTTCTTTCAAAGTAGCGTTACTGGTAAATGTGTTTTTTAGTGCTACTAGTTGCCTAGTCATTTCTCATGTTCTTTTTGATGTTCTGTGAATCCTCAACCTGATACCTGAAAGCCTAATCTAATATAAATTTATGCATGTAGACCATGTGTGTGTGTGTGTGTGTGTGTGTGTATTATACACATATATACTAGGGTTGTTATATCTACCATGGGGTCCATGACTCTATTAAACTTGGTTCATGACTATTTGTGATAACCACCTCGCGCCAGAGTAGTTCTTTATGCATAATTGGTAACCTATTGGACTTTTCCAATCACATCCAAAACTGGTGGTAACCTCTTGCTGTTCAATGACATCCAAATTGCATAGCTATGAAATTCATATGGCTTTCAATTCCCAAATTCATCGATATCTTTTCGCAATGTAGTTAATTTTTTTTGTTATTATTATTTTTATTTTTTTCTTTTCATAGAAGAAAGTTGAATCTCCACTACCTATGATGGACGACCACATCAGTAATTGCTTAAGAAGAAAACGACACGGAAACACAAATCATCAATTTGTTAAATAACTGTAGTGGAGCGTAAGTTGACAGCTTGAAAAGGATAAAAAAGCAAGGCAACGATATCAAAGTTATTGGAACTAAAATATATATAACCAATCGGAAAATACACAATATATATGGGATTCTTATTGAGGGGCTACAAAATTGGAAATTCTACTATATTTCTTAATACATTTCCCTGTTCTGAGAAAAATCAAGGAAATAATAAACACCATACCAATTCCTGTCTAATAGAATATAAACGTATGACTTCATAGCTGAAGATAATTTCAGAACTAGAGATATATATATATATATATATATATATAAATTGATGAAAATTGCATTTCCCTGTTCTGAGAAAAATCAAGGAAATAATAAACACCATACCAGTTCCTGTCTAATAGAATATAAACGTTTGACTTCATAGCTGAAGATAATTTCAGAACTAGATATATATATATATATATATATATATATATATAAATTGATGAAAATTGCGTTTGATGAACATTGCTGAAAACTGAATTAAATTGAACTTTTTCACAAACCAACCTTTTCCAAGAAACACTAACTACTACGATTTTCCAGATCTCCAAATCTGGGATCAATAAAAGGAATGGCCTGAATCTTCTTGTGTTCAAAGTTCATATAACCAGTTTTAGAATTTATGGATATGCCGCCGAATTGGCCACAGCAGTTAATCCTACAGATGATAATATTACATTATGTAGAGCAACACTGAAATTGTCGTATCCGAAATCCTTCCACAGCATGCTTCAGCAAGAAAACACTTATAATTTAAAATGATTATGCCAGTAATTCCCTATTAAATTACATTATTAACCAAATGGAGTTTATACTTGAGCAGCGTATCCCCATCAGAAGGGTAACAAAGATCTGAAGTGGATGCTTATTTACAATACTTCTTGAACCAGACTCCAATATTGAGAAAGCTTTCAAAGTCGGATTGTGGTCTGCGAAACAGAAACATGCCGCATATTTCAATGTAAAATGCACGGTCAGCCTGAATTTTGATTAAATTGACTATAATGTGTAAAAGCACAAAGGGGGAAAATTTACTTCTCGATTCCATGTACATCATTGGGAAACACCATCACTTTAATCTCAACTCCTTTCTCCTTCAATGCACGTGCATACTGCACAAATCAAACATCAAGGGATTCACATTATCAATTATGCCCATTTAGCAACCAACAAAGCATAAAAAATATGCTATTTGGACTATCAAAAGCTCACCTACCTCCCCTCAAAAGAAATATGAAGTTAATGTCAACTTCAATTTGTTTATACAGTTCAATAAATCTAAAAAAATTGAGAGAAAATATGGGGCTAGAAAAGCTCCACTGTTTTTATATTTATTTTTTCCCAAATCACTGTTTTTATATTTCTGTGTCCAACAATTCTAACATAGCAGAAAATATAGGACGAATGGCTGGATAAGGCAATCATTTTCTTCACTCAACCAGGTGATATACTATCAGTTTTCAGTAAACTATAGATGCAAGTGACAGATGTTAATGATAAATATTATATATGTACGACACTTGTGGACATGAATCTTAAATATTTGAACACTTGAAAGCGTCATTTATATATCTGAAAGAAGTTCAGAAGCAAGAGGGTATTCAAGAGACCGTGCAATTGTTCAGAACAATTGCTTTTGCCATTGTTCTACTATGATGCTATGCACGCAAAGACACACCAGATATAGAGAATTATAATTGTTTAATACAGTATATTCACAGGCTTGCACGTATATAGCCACATCCCCATGTGGAGAGTTTTCATGCCTGACACCCAATGTCTATGTTTGAAACACAACATTCAGTGTCTCTATAGAGAAGAAAACAAAGATTCAGATTCAGAGTACAAAAGATCTCACCTGCAAACCATTAGAAACTGGAACACGGAGATCACGAGCACCTAAAAGAAAAATTGTTGGTGTCTTGACCTGTAAATATAATCAATAAAGGCCTTTAGTACTACAAAGAACAGGCTTCTACTAAATAACGTAATTGTCCAAAAGATTATGGTTTATCCTTGAAAGTAGGAAATACTAGCAAATACTAACTCAGCTGTTTAAGGGTTGTGAAGGTTAGATTATAAGCATGCTCAACTTTGTACATACCTATTAACTTACCAAATAAAAACTTTTTAGAATATATTTTCTACAACTACTGTAGTTATATTGTACAACCGATATACTAGTATTTTCTATACCAAGGATCTTCGGGATTTCATCTTTTCAATTCATGCATGGATTTGGATCACTAATCAGGATCAGGATGTTGTTTCCCATTGTTTGTAGCACTATAAAAAAAAATGCTAAATTGCAAGGTGTGACTGGACATGTTCCCCTCATCCCCTTCTTTGAAAAAAGAAAAAGAATGATAAAAAGGAAAGGCTTGTAGGCTCATGTGGTACCCTGCAAATGTATGTAACGGATGCTGTTAAGTAGTATCTAACTACAAATATTTATACATTTTTTTGATAACTACAAATATTTATACATAATCTTAATTCCTCCCAAAATCCATAATGTATTTACCGAAAGCCCTTGAAGACACTACATAACATAACAATTAATGTCTATGGAAGGCATACTGTTCATCATCACCATCATCATTGCATTTATATCCCTACTATGAACAGGTCAACCACATGGATTCTCTTTTTCCCTTCTTTTCTATTAGAAGTCATTTCTCCTATTATATTTACTTTTTTTAAATCAATTCTCACTATTTCATTCCAGGTTAGATTTGGTTGATTCCTTTATCTTTCCCCTTCTATACAAACCAATTTACTCTTCTCACTGGTGTATCTACCGATCTACGCTGACCTTATCTCTTCTAGTTACTCATTCCATCCCTCTCATTATTCATATTTCAGCCACATGAATGTGTCGCACTTGGTTTTTTTTTTTTTTTTCTTTTAAAGCATATGTGATAGCCAGTCTAACAACTATCCTATATACTTTCCTTTTTAACTTGTTTGATATTCGTTTATCGCATTAAACACTATTTTGCTTTCATTTTATTCAACCTATTCCAATTCTACTACTTATGTCATCATCTATTTCTTAGTCTTTTTGCATCACTGATTCTAAATATCCAAAAATGATTATTTTGAGGAATGCTCTGGTTTTGAATTGTTATCGCTATATTATCATTTCTGCAGCATTACTATATTTCCCTTTCATATATCTCGTCTTAGTTCAACTATTTTTTAATCTTTTGACTCGATATAAAGCTAAGTTTCTAATTTTATTGCTAAGATTTCCTTGGAATTATCCAATAGCCCTATATCATCAGCAAAAAGCATGCACTACGGATATCTTGTTGCTGGTCTTTCGTTATTTCATTCAAGATTATCATAAACTAATATGAACTTAGAGCTAATCCTCAGTGTAACACTACTTTTTAGAAAATCATTAGTCTACTCCCCCCGCATAGAATACACTATACAGACTGTAGTTTTTGTAACCTTGTACAGATCCTGAATAAGTTTTATAAATTTAACAAAAATATATTTTCTTCGTAGAGCCCACCAAATTATATCTCTTGTTATTCTATCATATGCCTTCTAAAAGTCTATGAAAACCATGTCTAGATTTTTTTGTCTGCTTGCACAATATTCCACTTGTTGACAAAAAAAATAAAAGATTGAAGAGAGAAATTAAGAATGAAACAACAAAAGGATATACGTGATTCGGCCACTACGGCCTATATCCACGGCACAAATTCCAAAGGGCTAGATCACTATTATTATATTCTCTCTTAGTTTTGTTTACAATGACCACCTCAATTTATCGGTGAAAGAATACAAGTGATAAATATGGAAAATACATTGATGGAGGATTCCTAAAATCAATCCCATAAATCACTCCTATCAATATACTATCAAGGCTTATATCACTCCTATGATATTCTCCCAACACCACTAATTGCCTTAATGAATAAATGGCCTCTATAGTAGATCCATGGCATGTAGATTCTTACCTTAATCCTTGTTTAATTACCTTTCCTCATAGTTTCATGGAAAGCATACCTTTGAGACGTGCGAAATAGGTGACTTCTCGTAAAAGAGAGCAAGATGTTCAGCTGGATATGCTTCTGTAAAGCTAGATTTTCCCTCAACTCCACAGGCCTCCACATAGCACCAATCTGGGATATCAGTTGTACCAACCATTAAAGCAAGGTTACAAACAGGATTCCTTGCAGCTGCTGCAACAAACTTTTCTGGCGCCTGCACAATTAAAGTGCCAATAACAATCCATTTCTAAAGTTGAGTCCCTGCTAACTTAACAAAAAGAGTTAGAAGAAATAATTTGCATTTGAGAATGGGATTGGGAACTCCTACAACCAAATCCTATAAATGTACGTACAGTACATACCAAACTTCTAGTGGCCTCATTGAGTTTTCAAGTAGCATCCGCAAAGTAAAAATCCAAGAAATGGTGGAGAGGACAAAAAGAAGTCTATGCAAGGTACAAATAAGAACAAGGGTATATACATATATAAACAATTAGAAGCTAGTATTTGTAACACTATCTAACCTGGCCAATCAAATGGGTTGTCAAGAAGCCACCATGGGAACCGCCAAGTACTGCTATTTTGGATGGGTCAGCAAGTCCCATGTCCACAATATGATCTATAGCAGTGAGCACATCATTGACATCCTGCTCATATAAGGATAAGATATTAGGATTAACAAGAAATCCCAGCTACTACATTGACATAGTGTAATAGAACTAAAAATATTCAAACTTTTTAATATAGAAGCATGAATAGCTGAAGTAGACTGTATAATAAGCACCTGAGATCCAATTTTCCCTGGGACAGATTGCAATGCTTCCTCACCAAATCCCAATGAACCTCTGAGATAAATTACCATAATTAGAAGATGCTTAAATAAAAGAACAGCACCATTGCTTTATTGATTATAAGATAATAACGAAAGAATGCTCCTTTAACGCGTAATAGTAAAAGTACCAAAAGACTATTACTTTGTCCAGATTTTTCATACCTAAGCGTGTGGACTGCAATCACATCACTCAATTGAAACTAATAAAGAATCTTATGGTAAAGAAAGATTATTGTGAACAGGTATTATACCACAAGAAAAGTGTTGGAAATGGCTATTTCAATTGGCTACTTGCACAAAATGAGAACAATGGAGAAACCTAAAGATACAGTGATGTTGTGGCCCAAAATTTTTCCAGGTCCGGCCGCGACCCGAAAGTAGGTGTAGCCCAGATTTTGGGTGAACTCCCTAAATCTTTGTGTTCTTTGTGTGTGGCGTGTTTACTTTTTTGTCGTGATTCTAGTTTTGTTCTTGGTTCGCTACGTTAGTCATAACAAAAACAAATTAATAATCTAACAAATAGGAAAACTAAAGAGGAATAGGAGGCTTGGAGAGGGTGTTCTGTGGGGGTCCCTATTCGTGATGCTTGGAGGGCTACGCCTCTTTGTGTGTGGTGGTGTATTTGGCTAGAGAGGAATAGGAGATATTTTGATGGGAAGGAGAGGCCGATTTCTTTTCTTAAGTTCTCTATTGTTTCCACTCTTTTTTGTTGGGTCTCAGGTAGAGATTATAGATTTTTAGAGGAAATTGTTGATTTTTTGGGCTCTTTGAAGGCTTAGAGGCTGTTTTTGGCCTTGTGTTGTTCTCTTGGGATGCGCTCCCCTTTTGAGCGCTTTTTATACATTTCTTACTTATCAAAATAAATAAATAAATAAAACAGGAAAACTAAAAGAAACAAAGTCCATCCACTAGCCAAGAAGATCAGTCTTTTTAAGAAAACAATGTTTTTCCATCTCAACTTTTAAAAGTTTTTAATAATTTTCTATGTGTGCTGGCACAAGTGCTCTGACTAATGAACTGTTCAAGAAAAATCATCATACTATTTTCTATTAATCAAAAAACTACACATGCTTGCTGTAGTAAATGTATCAACCTAACTCAAACCTTAATTGTCCCACAAAGGCTTAAATAGCTGCTTGAACTTGGGTTGCAAAGTGATTTAAGGCTCATGCCAGAACGTAAAGCTGAGGGAAGGCTTAAATGCCATGAGGTTGACCCCTAAAGTCTAAGGCACAAGAGGAAGAACCTCATGCTGCCTCAATGCTCACTGTTGGAGAATATTATTATAGGAACCTTAAATTACTCCACAGAATATTGCTCTGAAAATATTGTGGGAATGATTTTAGTCTATGATAAAATATGATTGGAGAGATTTATGGGATTGATTTTATGAATCCTCCATTAATGTATTTTCCATATTTATCGCTTTGTTCTTTCACCTATAAATAGAGGTGCTCATTGTAAACAATCTTAAGAGAGAATATGATAAGGGTGATGTAGCCCTTTGGGCTTCATGTGTCTTTCCTTGTGTTCTTCATGTTTAATTTTTCTCTTCAATTCAATTTTTAAATCTTTCAACACTCACCTTTGGTAGGAGATTCAAACTATGGATATTGGCATGTTCTAAAAAAAAAAAAAAAAAAAAAAAACATTGACAGTGCATACTTTATTTATTTATTTTTATCTCTCTTTTACTTCTTAATATCACTGAGAATATACTTTATATGCCTTCTAAATGCTTTTGAAGATCCAGTTCAACTCGGATGTTAAGGGATTTAATACTCCACATAATAATTTCTTTAGGTTACAGGATTTAGTTAGCAGTTCATGTATCCTTAATCGCTGTGACTAATTCATGATCAATTTATTCAGACCTTTAAAAACACCAGAGCAGAAAAGAAAAACCCATGACTAACCTATAATTTACAATCAGCAAGCTGTAACCAATTGAAGAGAGGAATGCCAAGGACTTTGAATAGCTCGTCAATGAGACAGAGTGAGGTCCCCCATGAAGTATTACAATTAGTGGCTCACACGTGTCATTTTTCTTGGAATTGGAGGATACAAATATAGCTTCAAAAGGTTTTCTGGCACCTAAAACAATTTGAATACGAAAAAGCCAATAAATTGAAGTTAACTAATAAACAAGAAGTAATGATACCAGCAAGTTACATTGCTAGTTCAAATTTCTTATTCTATATTCAGTAACAATTAACACATTGTAATACATAAGGAGAGTCTATTAAACATGTCAAACTTTTACATCATACTATTAGTAATGATATTTCAGTTAGTCCTCTTTTTATTGATGGTTGCATTATTGTGTAGCACCAATACAGGGATCATGCAGAAAATCTAGTGGTAGTTATACCAACTCCCTCAATATATTTTTCTATAAACTCTAGCTTCAAAATCTGGGATCCTCAAGATCTATACTAAAACTCTACGCATGGCTATTCAGTTAGAAAGTTTTCTGAGACTGGAATCTGCATGGAAAATGTAGAAAGAGACAAAAGGTAAGTATCAAAGAAATGCTCCAAAATCAACAATTATGAAAATAGGTCATGCTTCGTGGCATGTGGATACTGTAACAGCAGCTTTCCTCTAGCACATTCATTGATTCAATATTAGTGAGGACTGATAATCATTAATGTCAGCACATGACTCAAGAGAAACCTCCATTGTACAGACTGACTCAGCACATCGCTCATATATTATCAGGGAAGGATTTAGTGGTAACAAAATAAAATTATAAAAAAAAAAAAAATTGTTCTGGGTACGTCTTAATAGGGACAGAAGATCGGTCAAGGAACACAAAATTGAAAGGCAAAAAATCTGTATTTTGAGAAAGAGTTCAGATTTTTTATGAATCAGATATAAAAGAAAAGAAACAAAGAGTGAAGGATGAAACAAAGTGGGCAACCAGAAATAACAGCTTTTCTTATATATACAAAAAAGACATTGACTGACAGATACTTAATACAAAGTTAAGTCGGTTGGTAGGTATACAAATACTTGAAAGATATGGAAGAAAATGGTTATTATTGGGAACTTAGGCACCCAAACATCTAGCCCTGGTCTCAATTGCATTCAACATTGAGGTAAAAGGTTCTATATAAACTCCAGATGGCCATATGATACCTTTTGTAAGATTCTCAGAAACATCCCTGACTGGAATCTTCATTATACTAAACTGACGAGATGAGAGCAAACTCTTAACCTGTAAAACATTGTCGCAAGAAGCTAGGTTGACAAAAAAATTAACCATTTAAAAAGTTAATCCCTACATGAAGAAATAGTTTAGGCAGTAACAAAAGGATATAATAGACCTTCTCGGAGCATTTGTATATGGGACTTGAAACATCTAGCCAACCCCACGAGGCAGGCGAAGATGCATCCTCAAGAAAATAACCGTACTTGATTTGGGGGACATCAACTGGACTGCTACATACTTCAAAAACAGAAAAAACATAAAATTAATTTCACTTTTTTTACATCACGATAAAAAATTTATGAAAAAGCATCAGCATTTACTGTTACCAGCAACCATATTGTCCCCATCTAGTGCAAGGACATCCCAAGAAAAAATTGAGTCACTAGGGCTGATTCGTGATACATTTCCGCTGTAAAATAGAAAAACATATCACATGATAAATATACGAGCAAGATCAACAAGATCTATACATTGATGAGACAAGAGAGGACGTTGTGGTAGTCACCTCAATACATTCACAGAGAGAATCGCTTGAGTACTACCCCAGAAGGAAGATAAAATCATCGTGCATCCATCAGAAAGCCAAGGTTTACTAAGGAAACTTGAACAGTAAAGCCCAGGAAAGCAACCATCCTCGGCACACATCACAACAGGAACCTGCAAATGTACATAGGGTGAGACAAGGGTAAATGTAATAAAATGTTACATCGAATAACTTGTGAAAAAAAAAAAAAAAATGCTATATGGAATAAGATACCATCTTTTAAATATATCATTATTCTCTACATAAAAGCTTTCTTTAAAACATTTAGTACAAGGAAACTGCTTATACAGTATCCGAGGATAATAGTGCACGTGGAGTTTTCCATGGTTATCATGGATAGAACTTCGCATATGTAGTGCACGCATGCTTCATCAGAAAAGTCACGATGGATATTTACAATACGGTTGACTTTTTCAATTAATAACTTATACACGTGTTGAACCTAATTTCCTAACTGGGGAATAATGAAGCTGTTCCAAATTACATGAATTTTTTTCTTCAGTTCTAGATTTCGCACATATATTACACAATTTAGTCTTCATAATGCTTAATAATCCACTTTACAAGTTCTTTACAATTTATTTCACAGTCCAAGCCAACCATTATTAATCCAATCTAATTCAAGTTAATATGCAACATATTGCCGCCAACTTTCGACACTATGCCTTTGGACAATTTGAAACAATGGCGGTGCAGCAAAATTCCATTCCACCAAAATCAAGAATGGGATTATCACAAATAAAAATTCAGTAGCCGTTAGTTTTTAAAGTTTTTATCCCTGTAACAGTGCAAGAACTTGTGCATGCGTCTAAAAGAATCACTCACTCAGAAGGAAACAAATAAATATATAAAGGAATCAACATTCATAGCTTGCTTACACAATGCAAAAGAAGTCAAGTATCCACCAGCATCAACACCCCCAACATACAGAGAGAGAGACAAGAATCACAGCACGTGTTACTAGAGTTATAAATAGCAGGAGATGAGTTCAACTCAATTAATTCAATATTCAGGATATTGCCAAATACCCTAAAACAAATTTCTTTCACCAAATTTCATTTAGAACAGAAAAAAAAATTTATGTCCCACCAAATGCTAAAAAGTGATATCACCAAGGAAGGAACAAACTCAAAAGAACAAAATTTTCAATAAATGGCATGTACAAGCTCGCATTCTAGTATGATGCAAGCATTAAGAGACATGCTTGATAGAATAGTATCGACAACTTGACACCAAGAAATGGAGACAATGATTACTGAACAGTCATTATCAGAATTAAATTTGACAGATAACAGATGAAGTGCTCACCACATCAACAATTTTTGCAGATGGACTGAGCTTTCCGTCAGTTGGCCAATCAATTCTATGAAGTGAATCTGTTGCAGAATGTGCCCCAGAGTCTACAGAGCTTTTTGCAGATAAAAACACAAGGAACTTCCCATCTGGGCTGTAAGCAGAATATTTCTACCAATCAATGGTCCCACAGCTGTTTCTCATTTTATTTACCATACAAAGTTTTAATCAATAATACAGAGCAAACACTACCATAGACAATTCAAAATCATGAGGAGTTAAATAGCAATAGAAGAAGTGAAAACACAATGATCCTGGGGTAATCCACGGGATCTGCCTATATAATACTAGAAGCAGATATAACAAGGGGTGAAAGGTAAAATTCTAAAACTTTTAGAGCCACAGCCTTGCAAACAACTAGAAGAACAAATTTACACACTGAAAAATCATACCATTGTTTTCTTTTCTTTTTTTTGCCTCAAGGATTAGTCCAATAAACTAACAAGCAATACTTATCAAAAATAAATAAATAAATAAACTAACAAGCAATAAGACATGCAAAAGCTGAGAGTGCTCACACTATTACTGACACCATGAAACAAGTATCTATTACAGCTTAGTCCAACACTTATGTCACACGAAAATTGCATGAGAGAGAAAGACACACACATGCATAGGAGAAGAAGCAACTGTTAAAATTGCACAGAACAAAGTGGACATTAAGTACGCAACGAAAACAAACCTGAACCGTGGAAAGAAAGCACTACTTATGCTTTGAGTCAAATTGAGCGCGGTCACTTCTTTGGTTGCATTACCTCTGAAAATAATAAGAAATTTGAATCAAATAGAAAGCCAAAGTCTGCCAATTCAATATCCCCCATGATATTAGTCATATGCAGAAAGGTCTAATGGAACATGAGCATTTTACTTGAGCAAGTAACCTACTCAGATTGAAGTTCTTTGGCTTGTGATTCATGAAACGGAGCCGTGACTGCATACAAGGCACAAGGCCTATTATAGCAGTACTTAATACCAAGCTTTCTTGTGTCTGATGACCAACCAACAAAAACCAAATACTGTAGTTCTTTAGTTGAGGGAGCCCACACAACTTGTCCAACACTCAACGACTTCCCAATTCCTTCAACAGTGCGTACCTCTCCGCTGCACGAATTCATATTAAAGACTTTACGTCTGAAAAAAGAATACACATATCAATCAAAACATCAATGTGAACAAAAGCTGGCTAAACTGGACCTGTTAATATTGATGACAAATAGTGCAGGCTGCCTTTTCCCAGCATAGGTTTCCCCCCAATCCTCTTCCCAATCCCCTTGACCTTTCCAGCTACCACAGTCCTTATCTGTGGAACCACCTTTCTTGTAGCCCAAATCATTAAATGTAGGCTTGGAAGGGGCAGGTTCCTCAGCAACGTAAGCAATGAGAGTTTCGTCAGAATTCCAAGAAATTCCCTCAAACCTGTAGCACAGGAGAACTTCTAAGTGACATGCACATTGTGAAATTTCAACAGTACTCCCAAATGAAAGCATAAGACACAGAAGTAACAAAGATTTAAAATTAAAACCCATGCATTTTATTATCGGAGAGTTGATTTGCACAATAAGTTACCATCCATCTGAATATACCGAACCATGGATAGATTGAGGAATATGAAACTCCTTTTCCAATTGAGATGGGCCCCAAATTTCAAATTGAGTGGGAGATTCATTTTCAGAATTTCGAACTACAAGAAGCTTTGAACCTGATGGTGATGGAATCATAACAGAGACGCCTGTCATCTCAACAGGAAATGGGGCCCATTGAAAGCTAACGGAACCGTTACTTTCTTTTGAAATATGACTCGATAAAATATGTTTCCTCCTCTTATTGGCTAGAAGATTTGGTTGGCTAATTGAAAACATAGCCTGGGAGCCCTTTCCTGCAGCAAAATTATTATACAAAACAAAATCATAAGTAACGACTCTATGGGTGTTGGCTTTGGAAAAGGAAAAGGATAAAAAAAAATAAAAAAAAAACCTCCACACACTAGAGCGCAAAATAAAAATGGAAAAATATATCAGCCACATGCATACCATTGTTAGATTTAAAAGTCCAAGCCTTATCAATGGCGGAGATATTTACAAATTCTTGAAGCAATTTAGACTGAGAAGAATATTCTTCCTCATTGGCTGTATCTAAACCCACTGGCATCTCATTCAGAAGGCAGGCTCTAGAAGAATCCATCGTTAAGCAGACTGACAATCTTCTACAAGAAGTTGAAAAGAAAAGAATGTCAATAGGCAAAAGTGAACAAGTGCAGACTATAAGCCAGTAAGCAAAAATGACCAAGTGCAAACTATGTAAGATACTGAAAAAGTGGAAACATGTTTCACAAAGGAGGGAATGTATGGTTCATATACCAATGGTGAAATAAATAAATAAATAAAAAATTAAAGACCGAGAAGCCAACCACGAATATAGTTAATGGTAATCATGGAATATAACAGTCCAAAAACCACTATCCCAGTTCGGCGCCAAAAAAAAAAAAATTAACAGCTCATCTGTTGGGGCCACGTCAGCAGCTCAAGTGAGGTGCCAAAAATTTTAAAAAGAATATAATATATAATGAGGGATAATCTCTCTCTCTCTCTCTCTCTCTCTCTCTCTCAAACACACACAAACAATTTATAAAAATATTATATTATATACCTGAGTATAAAAGGAATGCCTGAACGCGGACTATTTCGTCAATTGAGTTCTAATAATCCAATGGAGAACCAGGAGTATAAACACCAATTACAACACAATTTCTAATTAGGCAATAATTTTATTCCACTTCAGAATCTCAGGCTTTCAGCTTACCCAGAACGAAGTGTGAACTTGATGATTTTGGTCAGGAAAAAAAAAATTTAAATAGCTCTTCTTGGCTTTTATTTGTCAATATTTCTTAGTGTCAGCGAAAAAAAAATTCCAATTTTATTGGCTCTTAAAATTTTACCTATTAAACACATAACTAATTGTTCTCTTTTCAACTCAACAGAAATTTCAAATTTGCAGCTCAATGAGACATTACTGATTGCGTGAATAAAAGCATGTTAGTTCAAGTAATAGAAGATCACTCATTTTTAGTGCTTTTCGTGTATTAATCATGTGTTTGTTCTTAAGCCCAAACAGGTCCAACAACAAATTATACTAATCCACTAAAAGAATCACCTTCTCTTACACACATCAGCTACTAAGAATGGTTGAAACTTATTCAATCGCTTATCGGGGGAGAATTATTAAATCAGAAAACTAATATACACACATATATGTTTGTATGTATATATAAAGATGCACAAAGAGGAATTTATGTAATATCGCCTTGTATATTCTTATATCGTCTAGATTACAATACATCATGTGTGCATAAGAAATCAACATAGCACTGTGAATTCAGTATAAATAATCAAACTATACAAAGCAGAATAGATAATTTAGCAGAAAATAAAGTAGCAATGAACTCAGTTAGCATCAGTAAAACAACCGTCAAAGCAAAGTAGATATATGATTTTAGAGAGAGAGAGAGATTACGTAGAGAGAGAAAGAGGTCTTGCAATGAGGCGTTTGGGACGACGATGGGATAGAAGCAGAGAAAGGAATCTAGGGCGAAATGAGTTGACGCACCACTCTGAAGTAGTGGACAATAGCTTCGTCATTGCGAAACTTCAACGATTTTTATTCTATTCCCGATTCTATTCTTCGGCGACACTATGGGAATTCTACTAAAATGCGCATGGTGCAGAGTACGTACCCAATCCAAGTTATACAAGGAAAATGTAAGGTTGGACTTACAGTTGGTTCGTGTAACAGGGTCATTTTGCGTCAAGTAAAAATTAGTTAGCAAATTAGTTAGGGCCTGTTTGTTATCTACTTTGTTTTAGTGTTTTTGTTGCAGGTTGGGTACTGTAGCTGAAAAGTGGGTTGCAACATGTTTGGTAGTGGGCGGATTGTTTTACATAGTATCAAAACATTTCACAAATTAGGCCAAAAAATTGAAGCAAGAAATTGGTGTTTTTGCATGTTTCACAACTGTAGCGGGCCAAACACAACTGTAGCGGTCGAAACAAAATTAAACTACTTGCAACATTTTGGCCCACGTATAAAAGCAAAAGTTAAAATATTGTAGTTCATTTGGCCCGAAAATTTCTCTCTCCTATGAAGCCCTAAGCTTTGGCGATTTTGGAGGCGACCTGTGATATGCGAAGAAGAGGCTCAATTCATAGTAGTGTAAGTCTTTGAAACCCAAACGTTTGATTTAATGTTTTTTTAAGTGTTATTCGGTTTCGATTTGTTCAATTTTGTCTTCGTGAATAGAGGGCGTCGATTTCATTAACTCATCGATCACCTGGAAATCTCTCCTTGCCTTCTTCTCTGCTCGAGGTCTCCACTGGAACCACCGCCGCCGACGCCGATGCCCTCATCATCGACGGCAAGCTCTCCAAACTCCGAACCAAGCGTGTGTTAGCCTAAGGCCTTGCCATTTTCCAGCGTGTTTTTTTTTTTTTTTTCTGAGTTAGTCTTGATTCTTGAAATTAGTCCAAAAGAGTTCTTGAAATTAGTTCAAAAGAGTTGAAATTATTGTTTAAGTGTTAGGAAATTCCTCTGTTTGGTTGTTGAGAAAATATTTGCAATAAGATAAACAAAAAAATTTAATCTATTTATCCACTAAGTTTTTTAATCTATTTAATCCTACTTAAATGGTATTTAATGTATTAAACAACAAAGAAAACCTACAAGTATAATACAAATTACATAAAAACATCTAATGTGAAGAGCTTCCCTAAAAGCTTATTTCAAGGTGTAATTGAATTTCTTAAGTGAAGCATGCTTAAAGATAATTATCATAGTGTCATTGTTGTTCGGTTGCCTTTCATATCAAAAATTATTATACTGAAAATTTGTTGTATAGAAGTCAAAATAGTGCCATCTTTGCTACAAAATAGATTTAATGCTCTTTCTACCAGAAACTCCATGGTTTTGTTGTTATTTAGGAATTTCAGGTCTTGAGAGTGATTTAAAGTCTGACAATTCTCTTGATCTTAGTTTGAAGACATTAGACAAAATGAGAAATATAGAAGCACTAATACTTAATTTTCTTGCTAATTTGGAAATTATTTATATGAATTGTGTAGTGTAATTGACATAGATTTAATGGGATAATTCACCACATGGCCAAGGTAATAAAGGGACGATACTGCGTACTAATGGAGACAAATTGAGGGCCTATTTGAATGCCATGTAAATTATGGTTGTGGCCATCCAAATTCAAGGGACAGCCAATCAGATTACCTGTTGGTTCTAAGGTTGCCTTATAGGTATTTTCTTGTTTGATCTTTTAATACTTAGGAATTATCGTGTCATTAGTTTCATCATTCCACCTCAAACATTGTGATTTTATTCATTAATTATTTATACTTGTTCAAATTATATGTGAATCACAAATATTTAATGGCAATTTTCAAATGCTTCATAACCAGTGAAAATGGAAGAGAATATTACAAAATGGTGGCATTTATTATACTTGGTATAATTCATTGTTGTCATTATGTGGACAATTGGGTAATATTGTTGTGCTCCTCTTTTGCATATGGTTGCTGCTGTGTAATGGGACTGCTATGATCAAATTCATTTTGAGGTTATCTTCTCAAAATACTGAGAAAGCTATCATACTGCAAGTTTCTAAAGATAGATGATGCATTTTGGTTGAAGAAAAGTCTTTGCTATTGTTGTGTATCAAGGATGCTATCCCAAGTTTTTCATCCTTGTATTTCCATAGCTAAAGACCTTATAAATGGCATTCTGGATTCTGCTCAACTGTATCATCCTTGTAATCTTCATTCTGTATTTATAGCGTCATCCTTGTAATCTATGAGGCTAGCTCACTTGTATCATCTTTGTAATCTTCAAAAATGGCATTTTGCATTATGTATTTTCACTACTCAGTTGTTTCATTCTTGTAATATTCATTTGTATAACTCACTAGAATTATGCATTTTGCTCTCTCCACAGTGTCTGCAAGTGATTATTTACCTTGAAAGCTTTGTTGTTAGTATATATATTAGAACAGGTGGTTATTATTTACCTTCATAGCATTGATGTTATTACCTTGGTATAATTATAAAATAGGTGGTTGCAAATTAGTGTTTCAAATGCTGTCTTTGCATATTTCAACTTGTATTAATTCTTATATTTCATCACTTTAAGAAGGCTAAAAAAGCAATAGATGACTTGCAAGTTTAATAAATTTGTTTGTTGAATATTTAAGCACTTGTAAATAGTTTACCCTTTATTCCACTTATGTTTGCAGTTGGGTTTTGTTTTTATTTTTAATGTTGTGTTGGACTATACAGGTAATAGGATAAGAAAATTGAAGCAGGTTATTGCGAACAACTTGTAAATAGGTTATTGCAAAAATTAATATATGTGTGTGTGTGTGTGTTTGTGTGTTCAAATTTCTTCACATCTATTAAAAATATGATGACTATTTATATAGAAATAAATTTATAAATACACTTAAATTTATAAAAACAAATTAAAAACAATGATAACCAAACATTTTTTTTTTTCTGTTTTATATTTTTTTTGGTAATAATTGGAATGACCAAACATGTTTTGTTTTCAAATTTCTTGAAGCACATGACTTACCAAACATGTTTTGCATGTTTCTGCTTCCGACATTTTCACAGCAAAACATCGTTCCCAAATGTGCTTCTGATTTTTTTCCAAAACACCCTAAAGCAAAAACATTGTTTCTGTTTTAGCCAAAAACAAAACACCTAAAACAAAACGCATGCCAAACGGGCCCTTAGCGATAACTTGTTATACAAAAAACGTATTTTATTACAGAGTATCTTAAATAGTAATTGAAAGTAGGTTTGGCAAAATCAATTTGCTGCAAGATTTTTGAAACATGTTTGATAAGAAAATGTTGCAAATTTAAAAAATAAAATAGTTATTTTTTAGTGTTTATTATTAGTATATGTTGTTAATTGCTACGCTGAAGCATATAAAAATATTAAACAAAACATTTTTTATTAAACACGTGTTTTTTCAAAAATACCGGACAATACCCAATCAAAAATAAAAACACTAAAAACAAACACATAACAAATAAGCTTAGAAGTATGCCTTTTCACATTACAAATTTATTGATAAATGATAAGAAGAGAAAAATATACAAAATGACACAAAAGAGTATTGGGCCCAAACACACACCAATGCTGACCAGCAGCTACAATCTAAAAACCCAGGCCCAATTCAAATTTCAAATATTTAAGGTCGTCGAATACACTATTTGCTTTTGGGGTTTTGTCATAGAGCGTGTTGAATAATAGTAATAATAAGTATGTTTGTGAAAGTGAATTTGTCGCAAGATTTTTTAAATTAAGAATATAAAAATATATTTAGTAAAAAAAATATTACAAGTTTAAAAAATATAATGATTAATTTTCAAATGTTATTTAAGATTTTCTTTGTAAAAAAAATTTATTGTACATCGCTATAAGACCAAACACTAATCAAATTGGTGTTTTGATTATTTGCCATTATTTACAAAACGTTTAAGCACGGTGTAAAACAAAATAATTTTTATCAAATGCTTTTTCTTCACAATTCATTTATACAATATCCAACAAAAACACAAAAAAAAACTAAAAGAGTAACAAACAGGGCCTAAGTTTTCTAATTAACATTGTTCTATATCAACAATCAAACTACATAATTCGCCATATCATAAATCAATTAATTCAACCGATTTAAATCTATTACATTACGATCGCAACCAATATCACAATTTATGATCAAAATCTTAAATAAATAAAAGTAGAGGAGAATATTTGGTGGAGATTTTATATGGAAAAGGAAAAACAAAAACCGATGTACCACCACTAAGTTATTGAGAGGTAGGATGAGATAAATCTAACATTCCATTTTATTTAGTATAATTTTTTTAATAAAAACTCCTGAACTAAAATAGCATGGTAAAAGTCAACTTAGACATTACTGGACCAACTCCAATAGATTAGCCGAATTTGTTAGAGGATATTGATAATTAATAGGATGTCTCCTCGCCGGATCGTCATTACTCAGCCAAATTATTATGTAATCGAATTAATTTCTTAATTTGCAAAATAATACATTTGCTGTTAAAATTTGGAGTGTAAGAGTATTTTTAAAATATTTGTACTTAATTGTGAAAAACGAGGGTAGAATTTGTCATTTCATTTTCTATTACTCCATTATAATCCAACGAGCGAGACCAAGATGTTTTATGGACAGGCAGGACCAAAGGTTACAAATGGATAAGGCGCAAAACAGCTTCTTTACTTCCCTTTAAATCTAACATCCAACCACAACTCACAAAGACACAAACCAATAACATAATGCCACGAAGGAAGAAAAAGAAAACTGGTGCTTTAGACGGACACGTGACGCTGTATAATTGGACTTTCATGTACGTTCTATTGTGAAACCCGTCACCCAAACAGCATCATATCTTCAAAACAAAATCAGAAGAACCCACCAACAATCACAAGAACTAACGGCAAATGGCGGGTTCAGCGACACTCTCTGTTATCTCTACCAGTTCAGTCCCCAAAATTACCTGCAACAAGTCTGACTCATGTGGAAATAAGGTTAGGGTTTCGATTCAGAGAAACCCAGATTCGATAACTTTCAGATTTACCAGAAATTATAGCCGGAGACGTAGCCCAACGAGATTGAATGCCGGACTGACGGAGATTGAGCCTGACCTCAATGAAGATCCCAAAGACCGGTGGGCCACCTATGGCGTCAGCCAAGTACGTCTCTTCTCACTCTTATTCTATACGTGTGTGTGAATAATGTATTTATGTATGGATTCGTGTATATATATAGAGAGAGAGAGAGAAAGTTCTCAATTATGCTGTGTATTGATGGTTTCAGGAAGACTTTATCTATGGAGAGTATGATGATCACCATACTTACCATGAAGGTCACGAGAAAGGTACATTTTTTATTCAGCTAATTTTTTTCTTTCAAAAAGGGCTACTCCAGTGCCCGATTGAGACTGAGGGGGGTTTGATGCAGAGTCTTAAACCCGTGACCTCCTCAAGGCTTGCCCTCTAAATATATGTATGTCATGAGCAATTCAACAATGCCTTTCGACAATCTATTGGGTCTATTGCATTGCTATTTATCTCCATATAAGCCTTATATTATGTCAAAATTGATTCTAACCTATATTTTCATACTATCTCAACCCATGTTAGTTTTGATACTTGCTTTTCTTTTTACACCCACTGTCACACCCCGCCTCGCGAAAGTGTGAGATAATGCAACAAACACCTCAACACATGTTCATATCCTGCTTGATATCAGTAATTAAGCACACCAGCTGCTCATAACTCATAAACAAAAGTACTTTAAGTATCAAATATCCATACAGTCCTTAATTAGTTAATTTCCTTGTAAATTCATTCATGGTCTTCACATTTCTTATCCCATTCTTGACTCCTACCTCAAATTTTTGGTGTTTATACGACGCCAACTTTAGTTTGAATATAGTTTGGCATGGTCTAAAAATGAATTTTTCTTGGAGTAGTTAATGGTTTGCGAAACTAAATTTATTTTGGTGGTTTCTATGAATTGTGGTTATCTCGCGTGCCGTAGAAAGCTATGCGTGACATTCACCCTTTTAGATTTCCTTTTTCCCCACAATTTTCCCTGATGTGGACTTTGTCATTCTCTGTCATTTGTCACGATTCAGTAACTCTTGGTTGGGCAATTGTTGATCTTCATTACTTATTTTCAAACTCATTTCATCTTCAATTAGTTAAATATATGTCATTTATAGAGTATTGTCCGAGGTATTGTTTGTGTACATGTTTCAATTAATAATTCAAGTGCCTGAACAGCATCTTTAAATTGATCACCTCCATAAGATATTCCCTTCATTCTTCCTATGTGTTTATGGAATCTGATTCTTTTGGGGTTGTAGTTAATAGTGTTTCTTAATTCCATCTCTACTACATAATTAGAAGTGAGAATTTCTTTTCATCCAGCTCCTCACCGTTGTCATGGAATTTCATATATATATATATATATATATATATATTTTTGATAAGTAGAATTTCATATATTTTTATGACAAAAATTCATTGTTTAGAAAGAAATAGTTGTTATTTTTCCCTATAAGGAACGTGATATATTTAGCGCTATCCATTGATTAAAATGTTAATGTAACTAATTCCAAATTGTTCAATGTTTTGTGTATGAGTACGTGTTCAATCATTTTTGATAAGTACTTAATGTCTCATATTGCTATATAGAACTCTTGGAAGTCAGTGCTAAGACCTATTTGAAGCTCTTTTCCTTTTGGACATTTCTAAACATTTTCTTTTTATATACTTTTTAAGATTTCTAGATTAGCGAATGTAGTCTATGGAAGTTCACCAAAGCTTCAAGCCAAAAAATCAAATTGAATTAAATGGCACCCTCAACTTAGACTCTGATTTCTCATTTTGTGGAATCTGATTTAAATTTCATTGTGAGGCCTTTGGTTCTTATTAAAGTGTACATCACAGGAACATTTTGGGGATCAGTTGCGGAAGACTATGCAGCAGTAGGACCCCCTACCGGTTTCCAGGGTATCATCATCGACTTCTGGTGACTTCATTAACCTAGATTAATTATTTGTACTGCAATTTCTTGAGTCTGGTTCTCTTCCTTTTTGGAGTAGGGCTTATTTCATGGTTATTCCTTCCTGCAATTGCCGCTGGGATGTACTTCAATGTTCCGGTAATATCAATGCTCAATTAACATGTATCACAATATTTGACAATTAGCAATAGTAGTACTTCAATTGGAAATGTGGTAAACAGTGTGAGCTTGGCTTGACTGATGAATGTTTCTTTCAATTCTTTCTTACCAGGGGGAGTACTTGTACATTGGAGCAGCTGTTTTTACAGTAGTATTTTGCATTATTGAGATGGATAAACCGAGCGAACCCCATAATTTCGAACCCCAGATATACAATATGGAGAGGGGTTCTCGCGACAAATTAATAGCTGATTACAACACCATGGACATATGGGATTTCAATGAGAAATATGGTGACCTTTGGGATTTCACTGTGAAGAAGGATGACATCATGAAGAGATGATGGTCATCACAACAAAGCATAACAATTTTAAATGACACAACCAGTCTGGACAGTAAAAGGTATTACAATTTTCTTAGTTCTCTTTATTTTCTTCTCTACTGTAGATTTCGCTGGGTTTATATGCTAGAGGAATAAGACCAGGTTATTACAATTCTTGACGCTTGATGCAAGACTTACCCATTCCGATAAAGTGGTGCAGGACACTCAGATGCTGTTCAGTGCTTGTGGAAATCATTCCTATTAGTTCTTACAAGGCTTTGGCCAAATGGGTAGAATTGCTAAAATATCTTGGCACATTCGAGACAAGAAAAAAAAATGCAGCAAAAATGAATTATTACATTTTCTGAGATGCTAGCATTATGGCACCCCTCTGCTGTACAAAATCTTATATATAGTCTTTTATGTGTATATACAAGCGTGATCCAATGGTTATATTTGCCTCTAGAAGCTAAATGAAAGGTGAATTTTTGGTAAGCTTATAGATCTGTATCTCTGAACTGATGAATGAGAAGGGAGTTTGTTTACTTCTCTATTCTCAATTGATTGATCTTCTTTTACTTATTTCTTCAAATCCAGCACATTAATGAGCACAATAGCCCACCTAGTGAACATGAAGACATAAAAAACAGCAACAAACTTTTTGGGCAAGAATTTGAGCCAAAATTGCCAATTTCAGGTTGACAAAGTCTTGCTGGCCGGCAATGGACATTGTAGGAGCTCAAGACTATATTGTTCCCGAATACCTAACTGATAAGGTTTTTTGCGACTAAAATGGATGTTTTCTCCAATGTGGGGTGATCTGCTTGTGGTTGTTTTGGGCGGGCAGCCATTGATGAAGGGCTCCTATGGACTAGTAATGGAATTCTGGAAGGAAGGAAGGAAGGAAGAGATCAAACTGAAATGACCCGAGGGGTTGGATGGATGATATGTTCTTTTTGAGGAGTTGTGCTTGCTGGAGAGTGACATGAATGTGATTGCTGTTGCCATTGCTTGTTTGCTTAGAGATCCTTTGAGGCTACCTCTAATATGGTGGGATATTGTCCATGCCTTGTCTAAGCTATGACTAACTTTTTGATGTTTTATAGGATGGACTAGCTATCACCCTGCCAAGTAACAGCAAGGTGAGTTGAGCCATGGCAATTGATAGCTCCTATGAGTTGATACATAGGATGGCATTAACAGGAGGAGAATGTTGAAAATTTTACATACAAATAGGATAGGGTTATCTGGTAGCCAGTTTATAAGCGTTGGTTATGCAGTATATGGGCCTCCATAGCTACCCAATCATCAATAGAAATGTTTTTTTGCCAGGACAAAAAAGAGTTCACTGTATGATTGCTTTGGTTGATGGAAGAATAGAGGGAATGGAGACGGATCAAACAATGAGGGAGCAACCTTCTGCGGGAAAAGGAAAGGAGGTGAAAGTACAATAATTTTTTGTTCGGGGGAAAGCATACACATTGTCGGCTCATTTGTTTGGACGTAAATATTTACGAAAAAAATTTTAAAATCTAATAAAAATAATTTATTTATCAATTTTAACAAGTTATTTTACTTGCCTCACCCGATAGATACGACCTCAATCTTAACATAAACCTTTGTCGTACACTATATTTTTTTATTTAAAAAAAAAGATATTTTAAACCAGAAAGAAAGGGTACAAACAATATTGTGGAAGTCCTTTGCCATGACCCCAAAAAAAACAAAGACTACTAGAGAAAGGGCAGAAAATCATCGAGACAAGAAAGGGAATGCATATATAGAAAAGAAGTGCATGTTAATATCATATATATATATATATATATATATATATATTTTAACTACAAATGAGCAGGAAATTATCTTCTTCCTTTTTCAACTTTTTCCGCTCCTCAACTATTATTTTTTATTTTTATTTTGCCATGATTATAACAGTCAAGTATAATATCGTTTCTTTTGTATACCAATTTCTTCCGATTCAATATAAATTTTCTCCATTTCCTATATAATTCTTCCATCTCTTATTTTCTATTTCATTCCACTTCATGTTGCTAGCAAAGGAAATGGGGAGTGACAGCCTATTGTCACGGACTTGAACCTTTTTAAGCTCCCGTGCGGCCTTAGACACTTTCAAGCCCCCTTGAAGCGCTAAGTCAGCCTACCCGAGTGTGCAAGCTTAGTGAAGACTAAGGCTAGGTAGCGGGGTGTGACACTATGCTTTTCTTAAAGGGATGAAAGCAAATGCGTCAAGAACTCAAAATAAGGCAAAATCAATTCACAAGAGAGTTGCTTTGGACGATTGATGCTGAACTATTGTTTGACACAACATCTTTGTTAATCAAGTGGGACTCGGATAAGTTTTAGGGTGGAAATAACCTCAACTCTGTTTAGAAATTTTATTTACTTTGACTCGAAATATAAGTAATGTTTATATTTTGGAGTGTATTCAATAATAGTCGGAAGTATGTTTGGTAAAAAAAATATTTTAAGTTTGAAAAAATAAAATGGCTAATTAAAAATGTTATTTAAAGGTTCTTATTTCTATATTTTTGTGATATTGTACATGACAGTGCTTTGTTATAGTGCGAAAGCATCTTGGCAAAAAAAAAAAAATAATAATAATAATAATAATAATAATAATAATAGAAGCAGTTGTTAAACAGGCCGAAGTGGTTAGAATTTTATTTTATTTATTTTTTGCTTAAGATTGAGACATTGCATGCTCTGATTTGTCTCACTTGACCGGTTAAAAGGTGATCCGTAATTTAAAAAAAAAATTAAATACTCAGGTTTCGATAATTAAATATTCACTACTTTCTTTCGTGATAAAAAAATTAATAAGAATTCAATATACTTTCTCAAATAAAAAATTTTCCTGATAAGAAATTAATAAGAATTCAATATGCTTTCTTAAATAAAAAATTTTGTGAAGCAGTTTACTCGTGTTAAATATTGATATTCTTTCACACATATTTAACCCAAAGAAAAATTAAATATATTATTTTGAATACTTCCCCACTTTATTTATGATAATTTTAATATAAATTTATCAAATAATATGCACACATTTCAAAGTGTTTTACTTTCAAAAAATGACGTGTCAGCTAGTGTAAATGCTACTTTGCTAGTGTACATGCTACTTAGCTAGTGACCAATGACCATAGCTTCAATCGATTGCAGGAGCCGCCTCCCCCTTTTTCACCCCCCCCGGCCCCGCGCTCTCTCTCTCACACACACACACACAGCTCGGCCCTTCCGTTTTGCTCCCTTCAACGGGAGTGGAGAGATGTTCTTATTTGTCTCCCACGTGTTAATAACATGTTACAATAAATTGGTCTTGTGGATGTTTTTTCACGTTGTTTTATTATTTTTATATAATTAGATTTATTTTTGTTTGATTTATTTCTCGACATGATAGATCTGTTGTTTTTCCTTTGACTAGATCTCTGATTTAGGTTGATTTTTGTTTTTCTTTGGCTTAATTTGATTTTGTGCTGGGTTGGGTGTGTGGATATGCCTTGTGGATGCAGTTTTGGAACTGTTGCCTTAATGATGGCCTGACTTTTGGTCACTCCAGTTATTATTCTTCTCTTTGGTGGTTTTGTTCTAAACCGGTGATTCTTTCTCAACAAATCTGAAACCTATCCTTCATTTTATTGTATTACTTCATGATTTATATATCTTTATTTAGTTTGGCTTATCGTACTACTTCCTTAGCTTAGCCTAAAAAAAAAATAAAAAATAAAAACAAACTAATGACCATAGACACTCGCAAGCATCATACGTTCTCCATACATCCTTACGTTTTCCATACATCATTTACATTATAGAGAAAACACAACCACCCTTCTATTCATTGAAAATTACTCTTCTACCACTACCAAAATACGGAGTACTGTAAATACGTAGTAAATAAATAGTAAAATCAGCACTAAAATTTTTCTTTTCAAAAGCACACCTGAAGCGAGACAAGGATGCCATGTCAGAGCAAAGCAATGCCAAACAGAGAATTTCACTTTGAGAATTCCTCAGAACCCTAATTTGTCACCTCTCTCTCCGACACCGCACCATCTCGTGCCCCTCAAAATTCTCTCCCCATATATATCTACACATATCTGTATATCTGAAATTTTCACTCGAATTCACACACTTCCATATATTTGACTCACCTCCCACCGGAAAGTTTAATCTCCGACAGATCTCTGTCATGGCAACCAACCCGCCGGAAGGATACTCCGACGACTTCCTTGAGCAAATACTCGCGCTTCCTTCTTATGGTGGCTTGGCGGGAACCGAGGGGAACTCAGCGCAAACGGCGCCGTTGACGACGGTGTCCCAGCTCAGCTCCGGTGACGTCGCCGCCGGCGGTGGATTCCAGCAGCAGCTGTTTCCGCTGGGGTTGAGCTTAGATAACGGCCGAGATGACGTTGATGGCGGAGGTTTTGCAGGGAGGAGTGTAAGTCTGAATTTACCGTTTTGCACTTCGGATTTATTATAATATTCGTGTCCCTATTGTCCTTTTCTGTGTTTGTGCGGGGTCAATTTTTTCACAATAAACGGTGGTTCACGGCCGTTGCCGTTAAGGGTAGGGGATGTGCCTCAATTTAGAAAGAGGTGGAGGGTGATTGAGTATTTTTGTTGTCCTGCATTTGCAGGAGAGAGACCCTACAAATATGGCAAGCTTGTTTCCGGCGTTTGAACATTTACAGCCTCATTCAGTCCGGCACACTGCTCCTCACTTTCAGCAGGTTCGTATAGTCCTCAATTCTTTTATAATGTACTTTCACACACACACAAGGATATATAGTCCAGTGCCCGGCTGCGACCATTGCAGTGTGTAGAGAGGGTTCGAGAGAGGTGTCTTCGGTTTTGAACCGTGACAGTAGAGGAGCTACCTTACCGTGTCAAGGCGGGCACATCCAGGTTATAAACTTATTGGTTAAGCCATGAGAAGCTGATAAGAGAAATCAATTTAATGGAAAGATGAAGTGCAATGGAAGGTTTTTCTTTTTTTTACAACTACCATAGTACCATTCCACAATATGTATGTATGTATGTGTGTGTATTATTTTCTAACAACCTTGAACTTGTGCTGTTTTGTGCCTTCTCTTGTCCTTAAATACCTTCAGCATTTAATCTGTCACTACTTCGAGGTTATCCTTTGCTTAGAACCATTTTTGGATAACTCCTGATCATCATCCAAAAGCAGTGTTGTGGTTGGTAGTAGCTGATGTAAAACATATACATATATGATATATACGTCGTGAATACAAATCGTGGAAGATCATCCAGTTAAGATGGGTTAAATAATTTTTCATGCAGTTTATTTTTTTACGATGCTGGGGGCAAATATGTAGTAGCAGTGTTCATAATTTTTAGCATGGAGACCAAGACAAATTTGCAGCTGCAGAGAGTTCCTTGCTGTGTAATAGGGAATTTTTATGAGTAAAATTAAGTTATCCAGTCACTGAACGTGTCAATAAGCCAATAAGTTTGTTATAAAGGAAGTAGCATATCTTAATCAAACATACGGTCATCTCATTAACCACCAAATCTTGAAAGTCCATTATTTGCAACTTTGTGGTTCAAGTTGAATATGAAAATAACACATCCCACCAAAGCGAATACTGGGGTTGCGGATTGCCCTGTACAAAAGTTTCCAAAGTGTGTTGATAGATTTGTCACAGGATTTGCTTCAACTTTTTATATTTATTATTTTTATATTTTTATTCTGACCTTTCAATTCTTAGTTATGTAATTGCCTATATATGCCTCGTGCATTCTTTTGCAGCCTTTGCATGGCCGACCAGCTCCGAGCACAACTGTCACCATGTCACACCCACCTGCGATCCGTCCAAGGGTGCGAGCTCGACGGGGACAAGCCACAGATCCCCATAGTATAGCTGAACGGGTAATTTAAATTAAATATAATGGTAATCTAGAAAGTTGGTTTGCAATGCATATTTGGTTAAACGATTTTTTTATGGAAAGAAAACAATATATGGTATGTAATGTAGCTAAAACAGTTAAGGCAAAAAAAAGGATGAATATGTTGAAGAAAAATGTTTATATTGAAGAACAAATCATTAGAATATAATCTTATCATTACATATGCAATTATTACGGTGACCAGTGAGGGAAGACCGGAAGAGCATTGATTATCTTACTAAATCTGATATTAGAAGCCATTGTTAACGACTCTCGGACTCCCTCATATGGTGAGACAAGGGGATCCCGGTCCTCCTAGAACAAATTATAAAAGATATGAAAAAGAAAGACCGAGTTACGAGGGTAAAGAATGCTTTGAGAGTTTTTGCTTTTAGCTTTTCTACCTTAGCTACTAAAGAACAGTTATACTTTTAGAAGCCATTGTTAATGAAGCTCTGGCTCACCTCATATGATGAGAGAGGGGGATCCCTGCCTTCTTAGAACAGATTAGAGGAGATATGAAAAGGAATGAGTGAGCTACGAGAGTAAGGAATGCAATGAGACTTTTCAGAAGAGCATTAGTTATCTTACTATAACTGATTTTACTATCACCAAGCATCTGTTTGTGTTGTATCTTCTGAAGAGGTTGAGGGTTCAAGTTCTGAATCGTATGTGCTTGAGCTGTCGATGAATTTTTATCTTTTCAAAATGTTGCGTGAACAACAAGCCAACAACTACATTCTTCACACGCGAGGCGTAGAGAGTGTGAAAATGAGCGAGCGAGGGTTGTTAGTGTGAGAACTAAAACTTCAGTGGCGGTGGATTTATAAATGGAAGGTTTTAGTAATTATTTTGTGAGGTCATTAATAAAATTTTACTAAAATTATAGGTATAAAATATAAATAATTATTTTTTCCAGTGGGGGCGGACGCCCCCACTGGCTCTGGCTCTGTCCCTGTGCTCAACTGTTCCTAGAAGGAAAAAAAAAGGTTTTACCATTACTTTTAGGATTTTATGATTGATCTCTGCATATTGTTGCCTTTTACCGAAGCTTTGCATTAACAGCATTGTTTCTCCTTAACAGTTGCGTAGAGAAAGGATAGCAGAGAGAATAAAGGCTTTGCAAGAACTTGTTCCCTGCTGCACCAAGGTCTGTGCCAATTTGCTGTTGCTATAAGAAACAGTTTTATCTTTTGGAAGTTGCTTTTACCATTTTATTCTGTCAGTTAATTAAGCCATATTCTTTTAAATATGCTTGCATTTGGCCAAAGACCATGCAAAAGATTATAATCTTTTCCTTCATAGATGATTATGGACTAGATTATTTCCTAGCTTGAGTGCGAGTTTAATGCATTCTTGGACATCATGTGACTTCACTGACACCTTTTTTGCCCTGATAAATAGAAATCTTTGTTATGATTAATGGAACAACATCAAGTGACTGGATAAGCTCTATTCTTTTAATTAAGTAATTTTGGCATATAAATTAATATTGGTATCAGAATCTATATATAATAGGCATGTTGCGCTATTGTCAAGCAAGTGATGGCTATCATTGTATATGATTACAATATGGAAAGTTCCAAACAATGTCCAGATGGTTTGTTCATTTACAACGGGCCTATTCTTTCTCATTTTATTTAGTTACTTATCTATCTTTTTTAGATTCCATATGCATTTTGGAGGTCTAAGATTAAGATTCCAAACAATTCCTCTTTTGAGATGCTTACTGTTGAAACTGCCATGGCTTATTATATGTGACAAATCACTTATTTAAAGAAGCTACCACTCTATGGCTGATACAGTGAGCTTATACTGCATCTTATTCATTCTTATTTACTAAACTTTCTTCTCTCCACAGACAGATAGGGCTGCCATGCTTGATGAAATTCTGGATTATGTGAAGTTCTTAAGGCTCCAAGTCAAGGTAAAGCAGTCTTCCGTTGTGGTTCAAACCGTGTATCCGCCAAACCCACCCCCCCCCCCCCCCCCCCCCCCCCCTTCCCCCTTTCCGTTTTTAGCTGCACCATTGTAGCTTAAATTGGTAAATCCATTCTTGAATTCCAAATGCACTTGTGTTCTTGAGGTGGCCACTTAGTTGGCATTTTTATTTCCTTGTAGATGATGTAGTTGTCAGAGCATTAGACATAAGTTGTTTTCCCATGAATGCTCTGATGAATACTGATTAAGGCTATCGCATTTGTTAAATCTTCTATGAATTTATCAGTGTCATCTCCAATTTCTACTCTAATGAGTACCCAGTGTTTGTCCAACCAGTCCAGGATGCTGGGATGATTGGACTTAGCATGTGCTAATATTAGGGCCCATTTGGCAATCTGTTTGCATTTTCAACTTCATATGAAGCAGAGGCGATGCTTTTGTTGTGCTGTGATTTATTCATATGGTAACAAATTTGTTGCATAATCTTTCAAATTCTCGCTACTGTAGCAAAAATAAGTGAAAACATCTTTTGAATGCTTTGAAATATGGGTCTTTTTTTTTGGACTGATTTGGCAACAAAAACATGAAACAAAAAAGATTGCCAAACAAGCCCTTGGTTAGTCATGAGTATTAATAAGTTTGGGGCCTGCCAAACTAGTTTTCATATGCCAATGAACCTAATTATTTAACCAGTATAAACAACTGGACTTTAGGCAGTTTCGGTTGAATGAACAAGTTTCATGCATTGAATGAGGTGTGTTGATAATTAATCTCCTCTCCATTTATCCCTGTATGTCATTATTCATTAACCTACTTAGCAGGTTTTAAGCATGAGTAGGCTAGGTGGAGCAGGAGCAGTGGCACAACTTGTGGCCGACATACCGCCGCCATCAGTTGAGGTAACATAGAAGAGATAAAGTTGCTTGTTTGACATACATTTGAAGAAAATTGTCATAGCTGTAATTAAGATTTCCTTTATTTAACTTCAGAACCATTTCTTCGCTTTTCCAATATTTAGGGAGACACCAGTGAAGGTGGATGCAATTGGAACTGGGATAAGTGGTCGAATGATGAGACAGAGCGGGAAGTTGCTAAGCTCATGGAAGAAGATGTTGGAGCTGCCATGCAATTCCTCCAATCCAAAGCACTTTGCATAATGCCCATTTCACTTGCCAAGCTAATCTATCCTACTCACCAACCAGATGCCCCCACTCTTGTCAAACCCGAACCAAACGCCCTGTCATGAACCTCAAATTCCCAATGGCCTCAAAATGTCTCTCTCACCTCCATATCCCTATCTATCGTCACCCATATATATATATTTATGTATTATTTATGTATGTATATATCCTTGGCATTATGTGGCAGTGCAATCAAAGTCAGATGCCACAATTTTGCTTTTGCCCTCTCCTCCTAATATGTGTCAAATAAGGTGTGATGTCAAAACTTGAAGACAACAAAGAAATGAATGACACTTCATTGTTTGTTGCCATGGTCAAGCGGAGGAATAGATTTTACTATATGTGCCTACCTCATTTTGCTGTGGAATTGTGGGGCCCACTCCCTTTGACAGTGGTGGGTATTGTGAAAGAGATGGATGATGGTAAATATGATGTACTTTAATAGAATAATTGAGATTATGGATAATGCATTTTAAGAGAATAGTTGATATGGATGGTGGTAGGTCCTTTTCGAGAGGCACCTTTGTTTTTTTAATTTGGTTAGTGGGGTGTGTTCCCTAAAAGTAACTTGAGCTTTTATCAAATCTCTAAAAAGTAATGATGAATTATTTGGGTGGCTCTTCCGAGCTTGAGTAGATGTTGTCAAGAGAGTCTTCTCGTGGCTATAGTCATGAACTTTTTTTATTGACCTTTGGATTGAGAGACTTAGTGGATTAGTGATTTGATTTTTCATACATCAATTGTTTCAATCTTCATGCTTTTTATAATAGGAGGTTCTGTTAATAGTTACAGTATACAATATTCGTTTTAAAACAGAGAGGAAAAGGAAAGGAAATGTAATGGAAGGAAATGAGGAGGTTCTTTAAGTAGTGACTTTGCTTTCCTTTCAAAAGAGAATATATATTGTTTATGTTTCTTAGGGAAGGTGAATTAAGGTTTTTTTATTTATTAACTCCATATTCAAAACAAAGTGAGAATTTTTGTCATTTTCTTTTGCAGATAAATCATGTATGTGTTGTTCATTTCCGTTCTCTATATGGAAGAAGATAATCAATTCTAAATGCTTGTGAAATTGGAAACAGTGGATGGATATTTTGCAGGCTCTATTTCTTTTTATTTACTGAAACAACATAATATGTGTTTTGACAAACATTACAATTTGACCCTTGATTTTGACATAAATGAACAAGTTCCCTTTGTACGTATTTTTCTAGCAAATTAATGAAGTACTATTATGGGTCATTATCCAGTGGCTTAACCGGTAGGGCGCCTGCTTCCCAAACGAGTATGCTCATATTCGAATTTTCCTCCCCTTAATTTGCAAGCATTAGAAGGAAAAAAAAAAGGGATAGTATTAATAACTTTAGAGAAACGACTAATACACAGTTTAATCTATAAGAAATTTGTGTCACGGACTCGCGGAAGTGAATTTAGTAAAGATTAAATTTAAAAATTCATGAGATAGATTGAAATAGAACCAAGATAATTTGCTAAAAAATTGATTTAGATAGTTTTATCCTTGTTCAATTATATTTTGTAAATACACCCTTTTCTATTTCCTCTTTTGAGAAAAAATAATTTTGGTTTGTTGGATCCACCTTGTCCAATAGCTTGTACGGACAAGGGATTTCGATGGGCAAGTTCAGGAAGAGGCATCCCTTCCCAAACTCGTCCTATAAATAAAAATATTTGAGATAAAAATATTTTCTCAAATTCGCCCGTCCCACCCCACCCTGCATCAAAGTTGGGACAGGTTTGGATGCTCCAATGTATATATATTTTTTTAAGAAAAACAATTCAAGCTGGAACAAATGTAAAACAAATTTTATAAAAGAATTTAAGTATAGTCGGATATTTAATGATCATAATAACAAAAAAATATTAAAATTTAAAATTATCATAAAAATGAAGGAAAAAATAAATTATAGATAGTAAAAAATGTTTTTTTTTTTTAATGAATTGGGTCAGCTTTGTAACTTGGCGGGTTATAAACTTTATTTTCAAACTCGTTCCAAACCCTAGTAAGATAAGTTTAAACCCGTAGTTATAAGAACGTGACAAAATGAGTGAAATTAACGTCTCTACTACACGGGTATTGTATGAACATGTTTAATTTCAAGTGTTTTTGAGAGATTGTATATCGTCTTCATTTCCTAACCCTCGGTATGGGCTTGGGTAAGATCCATGAAGTTGAAGCCCAACGAGGCCCATTGTTTTCCTTTCGTACCATCAACCAACAAAACAATTCTTTCAGAAGCCCACGGTTCAGTTCCAAATTCCCAAACCGAGGAATATTTAAAAGACTTTAATTTAGTGACCGTTAATTTTTTTCTTGGCGCCATGATATGGATCACTCTGTCAAACATCTTCTCCACAGCTGCCAATCTATCAGATGTCTAAAATCCATTCATGCCCGCCTTTTGGTCGGCGGCTTGATCCATTCATCCGACATCATCCTCAACAAACTCCTCCGTCTCTACTCGCGCTTTGGCTCAGTAGATTATGCGCACAAGTTATTCGATGAAATTGCTGAACCAAATTCCTTTCTGTGGACCTCCATGATTCATGGGTATGTTGAAAATCGTGGATATACAGAAGCAGTTTCCCTGTTTCGTCGAATGCTGAGTGAATCTGCCCCGCCCCTTAATTTCACAATTTCCTCGGTGCTTAAGGCTTTAGCTCGACAGACAAGATTAAAAGATGGTGAGGCGATTTATGGGTTTGTTGTAAAATGTGGCATTGATTTTGATTTGATAGTGCAAAATGCGATGCTTGATTTATTAATGAGATGTGGGAAAGTTGATCATGCTAGGCAAGTATTTGATGAGATGCCTGAAAAGGATATTGTTTCCTCGAATTCAATGATTTCTGGCTATGGGAGTAATGGTGGAGTTAATATTGCACGTGATTTGTTTAATATCATGCCAATTAGGAATATGATTTCATGGACGACTATGATTTGTGGACATTTCAAGGCTAGTAACATGGTGGAGGCACGGGTTCTTTTTGAGGCAATGCCCGTCAAAGACTTGGCCTCATGGAATGTGATGATTTCTGGGTACATGGATGCCAGAGATCTTGACAGTGCTCTTCTTGTTTTTGAGGCAATGCCAATCCGTGATGTTGGGACTTGGAATCTGATTGTTTCAGGATTCTGTAAAGCAGGGGAATTAGAATCTGCAAAAGATTATTTTAACAGAATGCCAAATAGAAATGTTGCATCATGGACCATAATGATGGATGGCTACATTAAAGCTGGGGATAGTAATACTGCGAGGTGTTTATTTGAGCAGATGCCTGAGAAAAATCTGGTCTCTTGGTCTACCATGATTGGTGGATATGCTAAAAATGGGCAGCCTAGTTTTGCTTTGGAATTGTTTAAACACTTTAAAGAGCAGGGCATCAGACCAGATGAGACTTTCATTTTAGGGATCATATCAGCTTGCTCACAGTTAGGGATTCTAGATGCGGCTGAATCAATTATTGATGACTACGTGGGCCCCTCACTTTTTTCTAATTTAAGGGTTGTTACTAGTTTGATAGACATGTATGCAAAATGGGGAAGCATTGTTAAGTCATTATAAGTGTTTAAAATGGCTCATAAAAAAGATTTGCGTTGTTATAGCACCATGATTGCAGCCTTCGCAAATCATGGATTGGGAAAAGATGCTATTGCATTGTTTCATGAAATGCAGAAAGCAAATTTTAAACCAGACGGAGTAACTTTTCTTGGGGTTTTGAGTGCTTGTAATCATGGAGGTCTCATTAATGAGGGCAGGAGGTACTTCAAACAAATGACTGAGGAATTTGGAATTCAACCAATGGAAAAGCACTATGCATGTGTGGTTGACCTCCTTGGTCGTGCTGGGTGCCCTGAAGAGGCATATAACATAATAAGTAAAATGCCCATGACACCCACTTCGGTTGTATGGGGTGCTTTGCTTGCGGCATGTAGTGTCCACCGCAATGTCCAGTTGGCTGAAGCTGCTGCAGCTGAGTTATTCAAGATCGAACCAAATAATTCTGGAAATTACATTCTTTTGTCCAATATCTATGCTGCCGCTGGAAGATGGAGTGATGTTGCTAAAGTAAGAGCAATGATTAGGGAACACCGAGTGAGAAAGAATAGAGGTTCTAGTTGGATTGAGTTGGGCTCTGTAGTGCATGAGTTTGTCATGGGAGATGTGTCACATTTACATTCAGATAGCATATTATTTATCTTGGATTTGCTTAGTGAAGACATGAAGTTTTCAGAATATCTTATGGACACCAAACAGGAAGAACTAATGCTGCTCTCTACTTAATGGCTATCTTATTTATCCTCCTATGACGAGTTGGAAGATGGACAATCAAAATCATATGTGATAAAGAGAGAAAATTGAATATTGTGGCACCTTAAGACCTATATTAACATGGAGCCACTTATCATGTAGACCATCACAAGGTTGGACTTTTATTTGAATTTATGAATCAGAAAGTCGAACATCTCATTGAATGGACTTCATGAAGTTATTTTCTTGTTATAGGTGGTAAAGGGCACTGGTCAAAGTCTCAAGTTGTCAAAAGAGCACTACAGAGAATCAATTGTATTGTCTATGATTTACCTGGGAAATTCTGTATTTCTTCCAACAGGTAATAACTTATGTCTATTTTTCATACTTTTTGACTTATATGATATATCATATACTATGATATACCTTTTGACTGAAGTCGATTTCTCATATACTACAAATCTGTGTATCTAGAAGAATGTACTGATGAATGCCTTGAAATTGACATGGTGGCTATTCTTTTGATTATTATTATTATTATTTTCCCTTCAGATGTGGCATCAATGTCAAACTGTCAAAATTTTGGTTGTACTTGTCAAGCTTGAGATCACAAGTGAACTTGACATACTGTTAAAAATGTAGAAAGTAAAAATGTTGTGGCAAAAAAATATAAATAAAAATAAAATGTGAGGCTAAAAAGAATAAATCACTGAAACCATTTGGAAACCAAAATCAATGATCTGGCTGGTTGATAATTGATGCTATTGGGGATTCACTATGCAAGATGTGGCCTAAGCAATGCCTTCATATGGTCAGGTGATAAAATACATTGACACAAATTTGTGAAACTTTTTGAAAATTTAAGACAAAAGAGTGGTGTATCATGGTTCTCGAATTTTCTAGCGTTGTATGTGTACCTGTAGCATTCAGAAGATGATCATATATTATATCAATCGTCTGATTGACTTTCTGCTTGTAGTAGTGTGATTTTTCAATTAATCAGCTTATCAAACCTCTAACTCCAAACCACTTAGGGTTAAATCCTTTATTCATTTAGAAAACAGCACATGATTATTTTTTCACTGCCTTCCCCTCATTCATTTAGCCCCTTCTCTGATCCTCACAGCACCTTCTGCTTGAATCAGACCACTCCTCTTTGGTGTATAAATGTGTATTTGTATGGTGTAAACATTTTTTTTTTTCCAGATGACTACCCCTCAACTTATTCTCAATTGGTACCACTGCTTCTCACAGATGCAATCCTTTCTCTCTGCTATCCACCTCAGTACTCTCAATTTTTGCTAGTTTAATTTTTTGTACATTTTTCTTGATAGCCAAACATTCTGTGCCACAAATCATTGCTGGCCTTGTAACCATTTGGTGAAACGTTTCAGTCAATATGACCAATGTTCTGGTATGGATTCATCCACATTATGCCCAAGAAACTGAGAGTGGTTGTAGGAAGAGTAGAGGAGATAAGTGAGAGAGAAAGAGGTGGGCCCCTTATTCATGGAGTATTGAGTAAGTGGACAGAGGAACCCTTGTTCACAAGTTATGAATATTGATTGAAACAAATGGCACCTGTGTTCTAGACACACGTGAAGTACAACCAAAGAGATATAGACACGTGTCTAATGCACTGTCACTTGAAAGAGATACATGTGTCCATAGGGTCTTTCCCACTCCCTCCTCTGGTAAAAACCAAGAGGCAGGCACCCACACTGGCCTGATTTACATGCTTCTCACCTTCCGAAAGAAAAAAGATTTACATGCTTCTCCGCAATCATAGTGGTGGGATCCCATGATATCACCACTCAGCTAGCATTATACTCTTGGCCCATCAAATCACCTCCTTCTTTTAAATCCCACTGGAGTGAGATGTCAAGACATGACATGGCGAATGACTATCCATGTTAGTATGTTACACCTATGTTGGCAAAAAACGCAGCCATGCCTACTCTTTGATTTCGTAATTCAAATGCTTGGATTGTGCGGATCATTAAATTCATGTCCTCTTGAAAATTTTGAATTCTGAAAAGGGACAATTAAATTAGGACAATGGTAGTATATTGAGCTGTCCTGATAACAATGTTATGGTATCTTATTTTTTTATTTTTTATTTTTACCTTGAAAAGAACTCACACACCCACTTTGCCTTTATAAGGACTTGAACTCTCACCCTTTCACTTTGAAGACGAAGAAGTATCACTAGACTACAACCCTTGATGATACTGTTCTAATATCTCAATACCTACAAATGCAGATCAAGTATGCTGACTTCCGAAAGGAGGCACTATTATCTTGACCTTGAAATTGCAATAGGTATGAAATTAAATGCATCTTACGTTTTCTTTTTAGTCTTTTTAAAATTTAGCCGTGGTTTTGTTTGTCCAAGTCAAAAGAAAAACCAAATAGTCATTCTCTAGTATTTTGTTACTTTGGATCTAAATGTTACACAGATGTACCACTCAAGTCAATATTTCTTGAGCAATGCTATTTAAACCTATCTTCCTTGTCGAAATGATAGGACGAAGGCTTCTCAGCCATGAGATGCAAAGAAGACCGGCTTGCTTATCATTTTCCATATTTTTTAGAATCACAAGAACAACTCCCAAGAATTGTTTTGCATTTTTTTTTTTTTTTCTGATTTAATGTTACACTCCGTTTGGTTGTTGAAAAGGCAAAGGATTTCTAAATTAAAAATTAAATATCTGAATAACTTCCCGCCTTCTAATTCACCTAGTAAATATAAATGTATTATCACCATGTAGGCTCTACATCCTAAAATATGTTGAGTTCACTGAATCTCTACCATATTTAATCAAACTGAGCATCTAGTACTTTGGGGGAAGAACTGCGGTAAAAGGGAAAGTAGCATAAGAAACAGTATTTAAAGTATACAAATGCATTATGGGACATACATAAAGATTAATTTAGTAAAAAATTCCACCTTTTCAGAGAGAAAAAAAAAAAAAAAAGGTTAATTAGATACCATTGCTTTTTGGCACAGGGCTCCAACTCATCCATTGCGAATTTTAATTTTTATTAAAATATATTGTTCACAGAGCACAACAAATTTTTTAAGTTGATCATAAGATTTTTTTTTGATCAGATTGCTACCGCGAGGTCCATTACAATATTGCATGCTCACCAACTGGCGAACATGATGATTAGGAAAGGTTATTGGTCGCACAATCCCTAAAGGCCACGTACACTATGAAAAACAGCCAGATTAGTAGATATTCACTGATCAATTTGCGACCACATGAAGCAATACAACTGGAATATGTATGTGTGTGTTTTCTTTCTCTCTTGAGGGTGGTTTGTGATAATTTTTAAATCTTTTCTATTAGGTAATTTGGTATATTTTTCCATTGAACGGAGAAGTTTTGACCTCTATTGGCTCGATGCGAGCTTTTTAAACTCCTTTCTCATCTTACTTGGTAGAGAGAAACAGTTCCTCATATGCCCATTCTCTGTAATTCAAATCCTGATGCATATGGACATATATATGTTAATAATTTGACCTTTACTTGTTTAGATAAGTGAAATATTCAATGTTTTGCATAGTCTCTCCTTCTATTTGATTATTTCATGTGTCATTTAAATTGGTAGGTTGATAAACGGTTAAGCATAGATCATGTATGTCAGGGTACACAAGAACCTACTAATACTTTTAGCGTTGCAAAGGGAAAGTGGTATTCTTAGAGCTATAAAATCAATTACAGAGAGAATAATCCATATAAAAAAAATAAAAATAAAAACAAATAATTTTAAAAAACACGATCTAATAATTCAATTACTTTCATCAACCGAACAAGTATGGATTTCCTAGATCATGGTAAAGAGTTTTTCTAACACCAGAGGAGAATTTCTTTAGATTCACCTACTTTGTGCAATGTAATACACCTAGTGTTCCCATAATTGGAAATTTGGAATCCATCTTGTGCATTATTGTTTTTTTTTCTTTCTTTCTTCCACGATCTTTGTGAAGGAAGTAGCGAATTTCTCAGTAATGTTTAGATCAATGATACAAAGGTCACTGACCAGGTATGATAAAATGATTATTTCTAAAATTCTGTGATCTCGTAGTATGAATTCTGTACGAGCATATCAACATATTGGTGGAGATTGTATATATTGTGTTGTGGAAACTGCTCTGATATAAAGATTTCGAATAATTCTTTATGGTCTCAGTCAGAGGCAATGTGGTTTAATCTTGGATTGAACTTTTTTCTTTAAATTATAACACATTGGTGTCATAAGATTAAAGAACCACTTAGCACAACAATGGAAAGAAATACATTTTGCTCGAATTATTTCAAATCTAATGACAACACTAGAACCAAGTTGTATAGACTAAATATTTTCATCGAAGTAAAACATAACAAAACTTGGATAGCCATGGTATAATTTGTCTTTATACAATTGTCCTGGAAAGCAAATATTACTTTGTATATAGTTTAAATTTGATGGGAATATTACAAAGAAGAAAATAACATCAGAGAACCTTAAAACACCATGTGTCTGCTGCAAAAACTTTACGAAACAACTGTAATTTTATAGTAGTTTGCTCTTGATTTCTGCTTGCATTTTCTGTTGAAGTTCACAGAAACTGTCGACACAGACAAGGATATTCAAAATGAAAATTTGTATTTCAGAACGAACAGAAGCTGAAACATCTTCTTTTTTCCACTTATGTTTTGGGTTGTGGAGGCTTGTGGGTTTGTCATACGCCACAACCCAACCCTCTAGCTTCTGATCCTCTCATGATTCTCAGTCTCTTGCAGGATGACGAGAACATACTGCAATAAAGATGGATATATATTTTCATCAGTACGTACACAGGCATGGATCAAATATATAACTATAGTTGTATATATATTCATGTGTAGATAGGGGAACTTACTCCCATGGGACATCTCCAACCAGCATCAAGTCACCATCTTTGTCTTCGTAGGTCGGTGCATATTCTGATCCGTTGTACCCCTCCCTCTCCGAATACTCGCCTGAAAGGTAAAACCAAAAACACGATCATCATCGTTGGAACAACCTTCACAATCAATATATCATATGATAGCCATAACGTTACAATCAATATTTGTACCTATTGTGAGTTTGAACATGTTCTCTAAAGCCTTTAGCAGCTCTGGGTATCCCTTGTAAACCTTCAGGTCAATTTTTCTGAGGTAAGGGGCTCCATCCATGCTTACTTTCACATAAATTCCTGTTTCGGCCTCCGTCTTCTTCGATTGGAAGCTATTCTTCCGGTAGGATCGGATTGGTGGCCACCCCACGACTTGTGCTCTGTCATTTCACATACCCACCAAATAATTTAGTCATAGAACAAAATTCATCATTCAGTTTATGATATAATGTGTGCATACACACACACAAACACACACTGATACTTCATATGTTGTTAACCTTAAGAGGCATTAACTTACTTGAATGCAGGTGCAGTTTCACCATGATCACCATGCTTGTTATCGTAACCGCCTTTTGATTTGCAATCCTCATTCGTGTCGGGCGACGCTCGCTTGTTGTTCCTAACGTTAGACATGGCTTGTTCCTCGGACTCATCCGTCCCCGGCAGTCCCAACCTGAGCTCGGTTGCCTTGAGGTTGTAGTCACCCTCATATGCCATGGCCTTTTCCATTTCCGGATCGATTTCTGCTACGCGCAAATACTGAAACTCTCACTACACAATGGCCTTAATAAGCAAACAGACCGTTTGAGACCAATGTAGATTGATCAATATTTGCCTTGCTGAGGAGTGTTTTGGAGAGAGAATTTTCTGGGAAATACTTTTCCAAGGTTTGACAAGTTTTATAGAGAAAGAGAAAGGTTCTTCTTATGTGGGCATTGTTAACTGTTCACACAAATGAAGAGCTTTATTATAGTATAGATATATAGATATATATTTATTTGATACTGTAATAAGGGAGTGAAGATTTGTATAAAGATTTGTATTGCTGTTAAATGCATGAATTTTGGACAAAGGCAAGGTAAGCTGTCGGTTGTAAAAGCAGCACCTTTGAGGCAGGTGCTCCAACATTTAGGGGACAAGGGTTGGACAAGCGCAGCCGCCCATATGGAAGACTTTGAAGACTTGGTGGGACGGCCAGGATGCGTTTTGGGGGGCTGTGGAAGTATGATCTGGAGCGTTGGCTAGAGAGAGAAAGTGTTGGAGAGAGAGAGAGAGGGGCATCCCATGTGATTGGTAGGGGGTCCACATGGGGGTCTGGCAGTGGGCAGAGAATGGCCATGTGGGGTCTAGGATTTGTTGGCAAAGTTTGAATTTCTGGTTGATTGTTGGTTTGGTACATCCATCACATGTGTGTCATGTATACATATGGTCACCTCACGACCAATTCTCTTTCCATTATTGTTCCATTTACGGATTCTTAATTTTCTAAAGGTTTCAAATTTAAGATTTGTTTATTTCATGGTTTTTAATTTATTTATATTGTATTTGAGAGCACTCATGCAAGACTTTAAAATTAAAATTAAAATTGAAAAAATTTGAGAATCTTTGGTGAAATTGACCTAAAAATTCAATTGAAAGCTCAAAAGTTCAGATTTGGATTGAATTTTCAATTCACATTCCCTTAAAACATGACATTTGGCACCAATACAAATTAGTATTGCATATTTATGATAATACTTGACTACTTCCTTTTTTTTTTTGGCATACTTAAAAAAATATCAGTTCTATTAGGTCCACTTTGTTTAAATAGACTAGACCTTGAATTAATCTATACATCATTGTTTGACCATTTTACTTTATTCTACTATAATAGATTGTTGAAACTATATTTGTGAGTTTAACAACATATATCCCTTTTCTTGAATCAAAAGCATTCCATGATTTCTTGTCTTTACTTTTTTATACCAAATCTCCTAAAATTAGGCATCTGTTTTACAAAGAATTTGATTTCTTCATTCCTACATAATGTGTTTAGATACATGAATACATCATTTAACCAAATAGGTTAGACATCTCTTTCATTTATCAATTCTCTTAACATTAAGTCGAATTGACGCAAACGTAAAAGTCACAAATTCAAAACAGAAAAATAATAAAGATAGAGTTACACCCTATATATTAAGTTAATCATAACTGAATTGATATAGTGTTAAAACATGAAACAAAATTTAGTGAATAATCTACATTGAAATTTCTTTAATCCCAGTTAAATGAATTTTGAAATGCCTCTAGAATATTAGCAAAGTGAATCAAATTAACTACAGTATAAATTGGATTTTGGTAAATCATGATATTGCACCTAGGATCCTCATAAGGGTGAGCCCCACCTTGGTCCTTTGGACTGAATTCTCTCCAATGCCTTCATTAAAGAGTGTTGACTCAATGAACCACAAGCTACGATTTTATCAACAACAGGGTCCATCCCATGCCATCCGTGCGTGCAACTATTTTCAGAAAAAAAGAAAAAGACAAAAAAAGGGGTTTAATAATATTTTGTTTAACAAATAATCTTGATTTCCTAACTGTCAATCAAAGTTTTTTATACTATTTCAACAACTAATTTTCTACTTAATAGAATGAAGTTCTTCTATTTAAAAACAAAGTATTGTTTTTTCCAAACAACAGAGATCAAAATATTTTTGATGTTATGTTTAAGAATATCGAATCGGATTTAACATTGAAAAAAATTTAATTCAAAAATTTATTCTAAATTTGTTCTAATTTTAAATTGAAAGAACTAACTCGGTGTCACCAAACATAAACATGTAGCATTTAAGTTTTGTAAAATACTATAATCAAACTATATAATAAAAATGCTAATCATGTATGACTAGTCTTGATTAGGTAGGGATTTTAAGATTTCATGCACCAATCTTGGTTACCTGTTTTTATGATGCAATGTTTCAAAAGATTAGAGTGAAGTACAAATACAGATCCAGTTAGAAAAAGAGAATCAAAGTCTGAACCATAAAAATTAAGACAACAAAATAACAGTGAAATTCCTGCCAAAAAAAAAAAAAAGGAAATATATTTAGCATTTGATTGGTTGTTTTGGGAGGGATGGGCTTGGATTTGAATCCCTAAAATTGAAAACTTATTTTATTTTATTTATATTTTTATTCTTTTTCCTAGATGAAACTCACAGATCCACTTTGTAACTAGTCTTTAACAAGTCTCTTTATTTCCATGTTGAGCTCCCGTTAGAGAAATTAATTTAAAATAGAGTTAATGTCAGGTTCTTAAGCATAAAAAATAAAAAATTCTAAAAAATTAATGTAAATTTAAAAAAAAATTACAAACACAATAAATTAAATTTAACCCAAATCCAATAATAATGAAATTTGGATTGAGATTTTAAACTCAAACCCAACCCTGTTTAAGTTAGGGTTGAAATTTTTTAACCAAAGTCCAATATTAATGATGAAAATGGTTACTAAAGCCCGTAAAATATGGGCTGGACTCAGACAGGATTTGTGTTGGACGGTACCCCAAAAGGCAAACCCATGATCATGCCATCCAAAGCATTAGTTTGCACAAAATCTTGAACCTTACTCTTAAATTATTTCACAGAAAAATGTCATATAATTCCTTTTTTTCTTGTAAGTAAATTTCCTACAATCTTTTACTAAGGGAATAAAATGTGAAACTGGTCTGTGTCACATAATTAAATGGTTTGTAGTGACACATTTCCTGGTATGTGTCATTTAAAGCATTAGTTGGGTAAAAATTGCAATAATGAATTAAACCACCACAGTCCTACGAATGTTGTATCTAGCTGATTTTTAATTGCCGTCACACGTACAGCTGTGTTAGGAACACTTTGTTTTCTTCATTATTGCTTCTTCTACTAGTAGTAGCTACACCGATTCAATTCTTTAAATGTTAGCTAAAATTCTGTGGTGTGTGACTGAAGGACCATTTCAAATATTGAAAGCTCTCTCTCTATATGTATATATATATATATGTTTAGATACATGTGGTGTTTGAGATATAGTTCGGCATTTGCTTGATTTTAAACAGCTCTAAAGACAGTGATGCACAACGTACAAAATCATATAGGATTCAAGTCTGTCTATTCTTTACTCTCTCGTCCACTAAAATTTCTAGGTTGGAGATTGCATATGTAAATGTATATCACTCATTAATGGAGTCCAAAACCCTAAATCGGCATGGAAGTGGACAGGATTTGACTATGTACTTTGTGACAAGGACTACTTGGCATCCTTGGTACACAAGATTCTGATTTTCATGTTTGATTCTAACCCCTCTTTGTTTTTTTTGGTAAAATGTTGTACATAATGTTTTTTTTTTTTGTTAAAAATGTTGTACATAATGTTTACTTGTCCTTGATCACAAATATATATATATATATATATATATATATATATATATATATATATATTTTATAATTGTGTTGAGACAGCCCATTAATTCTTTCTTCAAATTGTATGTTCTCCCCTCTTTAAAGAATAAATCTGAGAGTTAGAACTTTATTAAGTGTGTTAGTTCATATTAAAATCATAACAAGTACTAAGCATTAGTTTAGATAGTATGACTTTTTCACTCAAATACACGTGATTTTAAATGATATGATCTTTCTTTTTCAAGTAACAATTGAAATGTTGAACTTTATTAAGTGTGCGAGTTGATATCAAACTTACGCGCCACGCATTTAGTTGGAAAAAAAATGAGAAAAGGAAAACAATCACCCAAAACACACTCAAAGTAGATGATGATGAAAATAGACGGCTGTGTCTTATCAATTCGGTGCTACACACACATAGTTAGGTGAATAAAAAGAAGGCAAAATATGTTTGGCAATCTTTTAAAAACATGCACCGACAGGTCGACATGAAATGATAGGACTAAGGTTTTAGTCTTGTATGAGTTTTGCATGGTCATGCAGTCCCAAAACAGACACTCGTGAAAATGTCTGTACAAAATAATTCTTAACTTTAAACACTTTCGATCATAAGGTATTGCCTTTTATTGGTACAAGCAGTGCAGGCTGTGCATGCCCTAAACAAGGAATCAAAGGGTCCAATCCTTTTTTATTATGTTCCTCCACCAAGTCGGTGCTCAAACCCTTTAGTACTCTTGTTAGGACACTGCCTAAAATAGTTAATAAACATAATACATATAATATATGTGCGCGCGCGCGCACACACACTCAACACTCACATCATGTAAATGATAGAAGTGTTGATTAATTTTCATTACCGATTAAGATACAATCACTAAGGGTGCATTTGGTAGGCGTTTTGTTTTTGACTAAAACAGAAATATTGTTTTTGCTGTAGGAGTGTTTTGGAAAAAAATTGAAGGCACGTTTGGGAAAATTGTTTTGCTATGAAAATATCGGAAACAGAAACATGCACAGTTATGATTTTGGGTCATGAACAGTTGTAAAAAAAAAAAAAAAAAACTTTTTGGTATTTTGGTTTTGGGCCACTGTTTACAAAGTGTTTTAGTACTGTATAAAATAAAATAAGGCCGCACCAAACATACTTTTGTTCCAAAATAGACAATGTAGTAGCTTAAAAACAAAAACAGCAAAAACAAAACATATGTCAAACAGAACCTAAGAAACATTCTAAAAGGAGAGACAATCTAATAATTTTTAAAATTTTTTTTATCAAACAGTATGTATTGGAGTCGTTTAAATAATCAATCGAACATCATGGCATTCTTTTAAATTTTAGTTAGTGACACACATAGGAGGAGGAGGAGGAGGAGGAGGAGGAGGAATTAGGGTAGGGATAATTGGACATAAATGAGTGGAGGTTTTAATATAGTTGCAGAGAAATGCTTAATTTGTAGGGGTGGCCATAGAATTGGAGAAGATGACAAGTGGGAGTTAGCTGTGAATGGTAATGTAGTGGACCCTAGACACATCAATATACAAAGGAACCAACTCATTAAACTCATTCCAACAAGGAATAGCATTCGACAAAAT